TATATTATAAATTATATTATTTTATATCATAATATTTTTATTATATACTATATTATATTACATATTATGAGATATAACTACTATACTGGAATTGTCTCTGGTCAGGCACTTGAAAAGTGCCTGACCAGTCAGGCACTTGTATAATTGTGTATATTTATACATAAATCATGTATATTTACATGTAAAGTCGTGTATATTTAACATGAAATACAACAAATCAATCAATATACATATTTTCATGCTATGTGTTCACTAATTGCTATAAAAAAAACATCTTTTGAGGATTAATATACATTGTCGTTTCTTATAACTTAACATACATGATTTATATGTAAATATACACGATTTACATGCAAATATACACGATTGCACAATTATACAAGTGCCATGTAAATATACACAACTTACCTGTAAATATACACAATTTATTATAAATATACACACTTCATACAAAAATGTACAAGTGCCGTTCTGGTCAGACACTTTCTAAGTGCCTGACGAGAGACCTTGCCCTACTATATAATATATTATAATTATATTATAATATTTAAGGATAATTAGGGAAAAAATTTATTTAGAATGACTATTACTCTCATGTGAGAAAGAAATGATGATTCACCAAAAAAAATGAATGACTATTCTTTTTAAATAATTATTTTTTTTATAAATCTAATCAAATATCGTATTTAAATTCTATTTTATTCTATTCAATTCATTTTTACCCAACTAAACGCACTCTAGGATGCCACCTGCAAATGGCTCGAATCCACATAATTTTGGGCCTGCAGAACTGCGCATCAATTTGGGCCTGTTTTCTTATGATAGGACAGATTTCCAAAAGCTCCACCAAGAGCAAATTTGCCGGGAGTAAGAAAGGAAGAAAAATTGCATAATATATTGGGCCTGTTTGTTTGCGTTTTCATTTTCGTTTTTCACGGTTTTCAAAGCAAAAAAATGAAAACGGGTGTTAAAAACGTGTTTGGTGCAATTTTTTTTAAAAAACAAAACCAAAAACGTTTTTGTCTTTTTGTGGAAATCAGAAAACGAAAAAAAGGTGTTTTCATTTTCTCATTTTCGTTTTCTGTTTTCTGAAAAACGGATTTCCCTTTTTTTTTTTTTTTTTTCATTTTCTTCCCTCTTTTCTGAAACCGTTTTTGTATTATATATGTTTATTTAATATATTATTATTTAATATATTTAATATATTATTTATTTAATATATTATTACATGTTTTCAAAAATTAAACCACCAAACGCAGTTTCAGTTCTTTTTAAAACTGAAATCAATCTCGAAATAAAACTACCAAGCGTATTTTTAGAAATAATTCAAAAATGAAACTAAAAACGTTTTCATTTTCATTTTCGTACAGAAAATAAAAACGTTTTGGAACCAATTCTAAACGCACCCATTGTTCTCTGATTTTCAACTTCCTTACCTTCCCTTATACAGATAGATGTATCTAAATTCGATGATCATCTACTTTGTAGCACATAGATGTTGATTTATTTTGGTTATTTTGTTGATTGGGAATACCAGTTATTTACACAATTTGAATTGTGACTTAAATTTTTTGCTATATTATTTTCTCTCACAAAAATTTAAATTTAATTTTTTTGTTGTAATGATTTTTCTCACATAAATTCACTTTTTAACTCAAATTCTCAACTCTAACCCTAGAAAAGAACGGCTTTAAGTACCTGAAGATCATTATGATCTCTAATGGCTTCCATGTTGGGTACTAATCTGAAACAGAAAGCCTGATCAATTAGCTATGCAACAAATATCAATATTTTTGAAGTAGCTACTTAACTCTTTTTTTTTTCTTTTTTTTTTAATATTACTTTTGTAGCAGCAAGTTGGAACGTAAACAAAAAATATTTCTTTATTTATTTGGTGTAACATCCGAGAATAATCAATTTTTATATTTAAGTTCAAACTTTTGGCTGAATTGTTATTATCTTGTTTTGAATTTTATAATGAGAGGAATCTTGTGGTTGATTGCAGTATTATTGCACTAGTTATTTAATGTTGTTCTTGTTACAAAACAAAAGGCAGCACTTTCCCTGATTCATGCCTGAAACTTTGGTTATGGAAGTTACCAATTTCTTATTTTCAATCCTCCTTATTCTGCCTGTTTTTTATCTCATCCTCAAGCATTTCAAAGACTCGAAATGCCCACCAATTCCACCAGGTCCATTTTCATGGCCAATCCTTGGCAATCTTCTACAAATTGGCGACAATCCTCTGGCAACACTCACAGAATTTGGTCAAACATATGGACCTCTCTTCTCTATAAAACTTGGCAGCCAAAGGGTGGTTGTGGCATCATCATCGACTGCGGCCATGGAAATCTTGAAGACCCAAGATCGCCTTCTGTCCGGCCGATTTGTGCCCCATGTGGCGCCAGCCAAGAGTCCAAAGCTTAACAACTTATCACTTGGATGGAGTTTTGAGTGCAATGAGAGCTGGAAGTACCTGCGGACGGTATGCAGAATGCAACTTTTCGCGGGCAGAACAATCGAAAATCAATCATGTTTAAGAGAAGAAAGGGTGATGAAAATGGTGAAGTATATCGTTTCAATGGAAGGAAAGCCTGTCAAAATTAGAGATATAGCATTTGCCATGACTTTCAACATGTTGGGTAATATACTGTTGTCAAGGGATCTCATAAACTTTGAGCAAGAAAGTGACGATGGTGGGATGAGTGGAGTATTGAGGACAATCATGGAGGTGGCTATTCAACCAAATATATCTGATTTTTATCCATTTTTAGGTCCATTTGATCTGCAAGGCCTAAGAAAGAAGTCCATGGAAATATATCATAAGCTTTGTGCTATTTTTGAGGCCATAACCAAAGAAAGAAGAGAGAAGAAAAGTGGTGACATTCCAAGCCAGCAAGATTTTCTAGATGCTCTCATCAGCATTGGCTCTTCCAATGACCAGATAAATTTCTTGCTCATAGTATGTCTTTCTTTCTTTCCCTCTTATTGTTATTATTATTATTATTGCTTTTTTTTTTTTTTCTTTCTAAAATTGGATGATGAGATTGACCTTGCTAATAATCTAAAGTATTAGTAGAAGTAGTTTTGGCCTAATATTAACCATTCTTTGGAGTTTGGCAAATTTGAATATTCTTATCTGCTTAGTTTGAATGATAAATTGTTATTTGATGTAGTACTGACTGATTTTCAACCAAACACCAATAGAAATATTACATGACTTTCAAACAGAATATCTAGTCAAACTCATTGGTAAAACGTGTTACTTGCTATTTTTTGGTGTATATGTTGTAACTTTGTCAATGTCTGTTTTTCCAATTTCATCTACTAAACAATTTTCAATCCTTTCCAAGTTGATTAATCTCTTCAGTAGGGGAAAAAAAAATGGTGACCAAGCTCTTGCTTGCAGAAACTAGGACAACTCAAACACTTGATAATATTTATGACTTCGCAGGAGTTAATTACTGCCGGAACGGACACAAGCAGCTCCACTATTGAGTGGACGCTAACAGAACTAATAAAGAATCCGAAATGCATGAAGATTGTTAAAGCAGAACTCGCTAGAGAAATTGTTGATCAAGACATGGTGAGAGAATCCCATCTACCAAAGTTACCATATCTTCAAGCCTGTGTTAAAGAGACCCTGCGATTACACCCTCCCGCGCCATTTCTTCTGCCTCATCGAGCTGTCGAGTCATGCCAAGTACTGAACTACACCATTCCAAAGGACTCTCAACTCCTCGTGAATGTTTGGGCCATTGGAAGAGATCCCATGTACTGGAAAGATCCATTAACTTTCAAACCAGAGAGATTTCTCGAATCGAGCTTGGATTTCAAAGGAAATGACTTTGAATTCTTGCCGTTCGGTGCAGGAAGAAGAATCTGTCCTGGCCTGCCTATGGCTGCAAAACATGTTCCATTGGTTGTTGCTTCCCTTATTCATTTTCTTGATTGGTCTCTTCCATATGGAAAGGATCCATTGGACATGAACATGAGTGAAAAATATGGTATAACTCTGATAAAGGAAGAACCTCTCATTCTCATTCCTAAAGTTAAATCGTGAGCAAACAGAGAATTTCTATCCAACTTCTGTGTGCAGGGACATGCTTTATGTGGATGAACAATAAATGTGGTCTTTCGTAAGTGTTAAACTTTTCTGATTTATTAATATAGCTTAAAATGGGTTCTTAACTGGATGTATGACTAATGCTTCTAAACATTTGTTTCACTTTATTGTTAATACTTATTATAGTTTCAACTCTCAAAAGGGCTTTTTATAAGGATTGATGATAATAAAGGTACTGGTTTCAGTTTTTGTTAATTTTCTATGCAGTGTATCAATGTTGTTTTTAAGGTTATTTTCGGTGGTATGATTTTATCATTTTTAAGTTGCCGTTTTCAATGTTATGTCGCATGTGAGATATATATATATATATATATATTTTACTATTTTTGTTGCCTTTAGCTCTTTTTGTCATTTGCGTTTTGGTTTTGCTTCGGAGTTACTGTTGTTGTTTAGCTCTTACTGTTGTTTTGTCATTAATTTGCGTTTTCAAAGAGCTGTTGTTTGCCTTTCAAAAAAAAAAAAAAAAAATCCTGTTGTTTGTATTTTGGTGTTGTTTTGAATCTTTTTGTTGTCAAAAGATTTCTTTTCGCTTTTCCCCAAATCAATATCATCGTTGCAGAAAGATTTTTGCTGTTTTTAAGAAGTTATTGTAAGGCGTATATTTTTGTCGTTTTCAAAGTTAGTGTCGTTTGCGATACATTTGTCGTTGTATGTTATCTAAATTGTCGTTCATATGACCTATTGTCGTTTGAGGATGACGTTCTTGTCCATTTTCCGTCGTTGCTCTTGCCGAGACTTGGAGAGATATTTGGTTTAAAAAGTTATTCCTTCGTGCATTTGTTGTTTTCAAGTGAAAAAGACAATGAACTTAGAAACGATGATAAGATGTTTGTTTTAAATTTTTGAACCTAAATTTAAACATTGAGAAAAAAAGTGTAACAAAAAAATTTAAATTGTGATTCAAACCGTAAAATTAACACGACAAACTTCCAAAAACAACAACTGAAAAAGAGAATGAACTTAATATCCGACAAATATATTAGAAATGTAGAAATGAAAAAACGACGAGTCTCCTGGAAACGCGATAACTTTGAAAACGACAACATCATAGCAGCGGCTACAGCTTTTGAAATGTTTATGTTAGGTCAAATCATAAAGCCAAATCAACAAATATCTCTGTTAAACGACAACAACATACAAGCGACAACATATGTCGTAATTTGCCAATAGTTTAGAAAACGACAAAGTCTTTGTAAAAGACAAAAACATCAGAATTGCTGCTGCAACGTAATTTATGTTTATTTTTTAACGAAATAATGGATCTTTTAATTTCAAAACTTCAATCAATTCATGTTTCTCTTCTAATCATATTGTGATTATAAGCCTTTCAACGCTTGTTCTTTTGAACTTTTTTTTTTTTTTTTTTTTTTTTTTTTTTTTTTTTTTTTTTTAATGTATCCTCTCTTTTTGTTTGCTTAGGGGGGAAAAAAAACAAAAAACAAAAAACAAAAAACAAAAACAAAATGGGAATTCTATGGTAGGGGTGGTTGCTCCTGCGTATCAACATATGTACCACATATCAGGAATTCAAGACTAGTATACTTTAAACAATATTTGTTCAATTTTTACAGGTTGTAAGCGTTCTTTTTTTCAATTATGCACTTTTTACTTCTTATCCGCAAGTCAAGACTCAATGCATTGAAAATAACTCACACATCTAGGTTATATATATAATTATAATTAAAAAAAGGCTTATATATTGCATCTCATGGAAACATATATGTTATCTATTAAAAAGTTCCATAATAATGTTTGATGACAGACCCAATTCGATGAGAAAGAGATGAGCACATGTTAGAGGTTTATATAAAGTCTCGTATTGACAATAAATGAGAGTTAAAATAGATTTATAAGAGAGTATATTACTTTACTCGTTAAGTTAACTTTTTGAGTTAGAACCTCAATTAGAAATGTAGAAATGAAAAAACGACGAGTCTCCTGGAAACGCGATAACTTTGAAAACGACAACATCATAGCAGCGGCTACAGCTTTGGAAATGTTTATGTTAGGCCAAATCATAAAGCCAAATCAACAAATATCTCTGTTAAACGACAACAACATACAAGCGACAACATATGTCGTAAGTTGCCAATAGTTTAGAAAACGACAAAGTCTTTGTAAAAGACAAAAACATCAGAATTGCTGCAACGTAATTTATGTTTATTTTTTAACGAAATAATAGATCTTTCAATTTCAAAACTTCAATCAATTCATGTTTCTCTTCTAATCATATTGTGATTATAAGCCTTTCAACGCTTGTTCTTTTGAACTTTTTTTTTTTTAAACATATCCTCTCTTTTTGTTTGCTTAGGAAAAAAAAAAAAAACAAAAAGCAAAAACAAAATGGGAATTCTATGGTAGGGGTGGTTGCTCCTGCCTATCAACATATGTACCACATATCAGGAATTCAAGACTAGTGTACTTTAAACAATATTTGTTCAATTTTTACAGGTTGTAAGCGTTCTTTTTTTCAATTATGCACTTTTTACTTCTTATCCGCAAGTCAAGACTCAATGCATTGAAAATAACTCACACATCTAGGTTATATATATAATTATAATTAAAAAAAGGCTTATATATTGCATCTCATGGAAACATATATGTTATCTATTAAAAAGTTCCATAATAATGTTTGATGACAGACCCATTTCGATGAGAAAGAGATGAGCACATGTTAGAGGTTTATATAAAGTCTCGTATTGACAACAAATGAGAGTTAAAATAGATTTATAAGAGAGTATATTACTTTACTCGTTAAGTTAACTTTTTGAGTTGGAACCTCAATTTATTATGATGAAGCTCAAAATCCTAACTATTGGTATTAGAGTTGGGACTAGATGTTGTCCAAGTGTATGTACGAGATGAATCATTAATGCGTCGAATGAAAGTGTGGGCCCCTAGTCGTGATGAAAATGCACATATAAAATGAATCTAGCTATAAGTAGGTAGGGTCCATCATTTTGTGAGTGGTGGAGTTTTATCTCTGAGATAAATACTATTTTTCAAAAGAGATTAGGGAGGGTTTATTAATGAGCAGAATCAGATACCGCACTCCATTGATATTATTTTTGCAATATCATGTTTGGATGGATTCGACACGATTAACGACCAAACATTGTGGTGAAAAAGAGATACCGTAGGATTAATGACCAAAGAGAGAATCAGATGGATGACGCAGTTCATTATTGTCTCCATCATCAGTTAGGCATCACACTGATCTAGTAATTTATTATTTCTTGGGCTGAAATACGGAGCATTTGTTTACTGATCTCATCTCATGCATAATTTAGTTTACGCAAATAAGCTTATTAGAGTACACATTAATTGCTAGCTAATAAGCTTGAAGTCAAGGATAAAACATAAATGGTATTCTTCGCCTTAGATTAAATAGGGGTCTCTATTCAGCAAACAGAAAATAGGGGTCTCTCATAAAAACTTTTCAACTTAATTTTAACAGCAAACAACTTTAGGGGTTGTTCTTTTCACAACCTAAATTTAGAATTTAGGTTGTGTGTGAGAGAAAAACATTATTGTAGAAAGTTGATTTTGAATAGTAATAGAACTTGAATTTTAAAAAATACAAACCCTTAGTACCTACAGATTATCACTACCAGTTTCGAGTTGGATATATATATATATATATATGCATTTAAATTTATTTTTTTAATTACAGCAATATGTAACTCAATACATTGAGAGTAACTCATGCATTTTGTTCAATATTCAATGCTTAGATATTAGTATGAAATAAAACATGCATCTTGCATGATTCATTACGGGTGTGTATATTTACAAAATTTAAGTTATATTAGTAAAGTATTCTCTCTTATATAAATTTAAATTCAACTTTTTTTAGATGTTCTTTTCTTACATGTACAACTTAAATATGACGACTTGAGTTGTGTAAATAAACATACTGGGTGCGTTTGAAACTCGTTTTAAAATGATTTTATTTTCTATATGAAAATGAAAATAAAAAAGTTTTCATTTATATTTTAGAATCATTTCTGAAAATGCATTTAGTAGTTTTATTGAAAAATTGTTTTCAATTTTAAAAAAATTAAAACTGCGTTTGGTGATTTAATTTTTAAAAACATGTAATAGTGATTAATTTTTAAAATCCATGACTCGGCTAATCAACGGCCAAGCAAACTAAACAAGAGACTTCCACTAAAATGTAAGAAACGATAAAGTTCTATTCAAAAGTTCAACATTTATAAGACTGAGAAATATTGAAGATTCTATCGAGGACATAACATTGAACAAAATGTGAGAAACGATAAAGAATAAGAGTGAGCTTGAGCAAAATTTTTCTCTCTTCGATGTTTGAAATCCTCTCCTCCAGCAGCTTTGAAATAGTAACTTCAGCCTACAAGGGGAAAGCACTTAATGCTTGAACAACAGAGAGTGATCACAGAGGCGAGGATATCAACTTTCTTATTTTCCAAATACTAAGGTTCAACCTTACTGCAAAAGATGCAGACCCCAAGGAAGCAAGGAACTAAAATAATATTAGGGGACGTTTATTTCTTATATTCGTCACTGATTTTGAATCATGATTCATGGTTCTCTACAATGTTTTCTTTCACAAAAAATACACATAAAACGAGAATGATTCTGAATTATAATTCTAAATACATAAACTAAATGTATTCTTAATCTTAACATACATACACTATTCGTATAATCCATCGGCCCCATACAATTGACAGGCAAACAAATAAAACCATACCACGTGTGGAATTTGCAAAAGACTACCTTCTTGATTTAGGGGAGTAAGAGTGGTGCAGGCGTAGGGTCGGTTGATTTAGGGGAGTAGGGGCAGCATAGAAGTCCGAGAGATCTGCTCAAACTCTAGCCAAAAACCCAAATCGGAGATGAGAGACCGAAGAAGACAGGAGAAGCCAGATCGGAGAAGACCGGTGAACTGTAACCGGAAAAGAGGACGAGAAGAGAACGGAGAAATTCAGGAAGAGATCGTGTGAGAGAGATCACGTGTGAGAAGTGAGAGGCAGAAAAAAATTCAAAGGAGAGAAAATAAAAATGAGTTTAATTTGTTTTTAGAATGGTGATAATTTTTGAGAAAAATATAAAAATAATTTTATTTTTATTTCTGATACAGTGTTGAACCAAACACTATTTAGGGTCCGTTTAGTTCTCTGATTCGAGTTTTCAATTTGAGTTGTGATGTGATTTTATGTGAGAGCTTTTTATTGTAATAAAAAAGTTAAAAGTGACTGTTTATGAGAACTTTTTACTGTAATAAAAATTAAATTCTAAACTCAAATGGTGAAATGAACGGAATCTTAGAGTTCGTTTGGTTCTGGATTAGAACCATGTGATTAGAATCATTTTTGATTTACGTGTATTTTTTCTGAGAGAAAATACTGTAACAAATCACGAATCATAATTCGAATCAGGAAACGAATCCCTCTACCAAACATCACATTACTGTTTTTATTTTTCTCTCCTTGAAAAACGTAAAGAACATTTTGAGAAACGGAAACAGACAGGCTCACTGTTTTTTCAGTTGCAATGGGAGCGCATCTACAGATTTTCTTGATCATTTTGTTGGATTCACACCGCCAGCTCTAGACGTTCACTATTGTCACTTCACAGCGTGGGTTTCTAGTAGCAAGCATTAATATATAATATATGTTCAATAATTACATACACGTACATCCAAACTTTTTAACTTGTCCCCCCTAATTTACACCACTTTTAGTTTTTGAAAAGTACATACATACGTTTAAATTTGAAAAGCTTGTTTCAAAAATTTTAAGACTTAAGACACGTTTAGTTCATAAATTAAAATTATAAGATTAAAATTATTTTTAATTTATATGTATTTTTTATGAGAAAAAATATTATATCAAATCATGAATCATGATTTAAATCATAGTATGAATCTCCGTATTAAACGTGTTGTTAGTTTATTTATATTTTTTGAGTTAGAATGATTTAAATTTAGATCTTAATTTAAATTAAAGTGTATTTGAGTTAAGTTTGAGTTAAGACTCTAATTTGAGTTTGTATTTGATGTGCACATTTTGAGTTATAGTTTGAATTAAAAATTTATTTGAGTTTGTGTTTGAGTGTGTCAAAACTTAAATTTGTATTTGGATAATATTTTAATAAAAACTTAATAGTGATAAAAAATTTGAATAGGATATATGAGTGAGATTTTATTCGTCTCTTCGTTGTTAACGTATAGAAAAAAATCATCTCAATCGGAATTAAAACGAAAAAATTATGACGTTTTTAAGAATAGAAAAAATATTATTCATTAACTTGAGTTTAAGTTTAAGAAGTTGAGTTGAAAGGAAAATTTGAACTCAGATTTTAGCCTCAAACTCAAGATAAAACTTAAGTTCAAACTCAAAGTTTACAAAAGAATATGAACTTGAATAAAGTTGTAACTTGAGTTCAAATTTTTTTTAAGTTTGAGTGCAAATGAACAAAAGAAAAAGGGTTTTTAACACAACTGTCTCTCAAACTTGTTCTAATTTAGTAAATTACTCTTTAAACTTTAAATTTTAGTAAGTTGTCATTTGAATTTGTAAATTTGTTTCAATGTGCTCCATTTAACTAATGTTGCTCAAAGTTTTTATTAGATTTAAGGGATTCAAAGTTGAGATATTGAAAGATTTATGTTACATTTAAATTAGAATGTTAAAATTTTTGACTGAATGTGCTTTTTTGACACTAATTGAACACAATCGTCGTCAAAATGAGGCATATTGTAAAAAATTTATAAATTGAGGGGGCAACTTGTCAAAATTAAAAATTTTGAGGGCAATTTGTTAAATCACTTCAAGTTTAGGGAGCAAATGTGCTAAAAATCTAAAGAAAAAAACACAGAAAAAACAATGACACCTGTAATTATACCAAATTTATTTTAAGAAAAAAAAATATATTTTTTTGTCTACGAAGGGCATGAGTAATGAAATTAAAACAAGTTTTTCAAAAAATAACTTGATTATGATTATGGTTACCGTTCAGTTCGCTGATTTGAGTTTTTAATTCAAGTTGAGATGTGATTTTATATGAGAGCTTTTTACTGCAGCAAAAAAGTTAGATGTGACTGTTTGTGAGAGCTTTTTACTGTAGCAAAACTTGAATTCTAAACTCGAATCAGCGAAATGAACGAGGCCTTAGTTGATCACCAAGACTCATGTCATGTGGAGAAAGAAGGAAAAAGCTTCGAAATAAATAATACTAATAAGAAAAAGCATGGTATACAGACATGAATAGTTATAATAATGATTAGGAAGGTCCCCAATTCCCCCATTTGAATCTGTTGATCTGAATTCTGAAGTTGTACTCATAGGCCATCGGCTACGAGTGGTGGCGATTTCCCGTCTCATTTCAGTAGAAGAGTAAAGCTGCCAAAAGCCATAACTCAAAATAATATTCCATATGTAAAGATAAGGACGAGTGCGTGCCGAATGTTAAAGATAAAAGCACTGGTCGAGCATCCTACTGCAAGAGATAAATCGATTATATAAATATATATAGATCAATTGTTGGTCAATATGGGAATGGGATCGTCAAAGAAAATTAATAATATTTATCTCAAAAGGATGAGACCCCATGCTCACTAAAAAATGAATTGGGGTGCTCGTCTTAAAATAATGGCAAAAATCAGTGGTGTATAATATGCCGACAGAGGGAGAAACAAACAAGTTACGATATATATATATGATATATCTACCGAATACCGAGGCGTGCATGAAGATATTATGGGCGTTTGTTGTTTTGTTATTCTGATTTCGTTTAATGGAATTTGTTGAATTTTTCCTGACAATAGTATTTTCCTTTTTTTTTTCTTTAGCCGATGCGAGTTAACTTACATCTTTTGAAAACAAGGGACCTAAAAAGAAGGCCCATTTAATTGGTATGTAAATTTTAAGTCTGGATTCAAGAGGAATTCTAAATTTCTATGTCAGACCATGAAAACTTAACAAAAACAATACTGTATTTACGCAATTTTTTTCCTGACCAGGTAATCAAGATTTTGAACTAACAAATTAAGTTCGCTTGTTCATATCAAATCCGAGAGCTAATTGATTCTTAACTCCAAGTGGTTGAATTTTAATTCTAATATATAATAAGCCACTTGAACAGTGCAGCTTTTTGTTTTTTTTTTGTTTTTTGTTTTTTTTTTTATAAATGTGAGGACACTTGAGTGTTGTTTGGAGTATTATTGAACCCACAATTGAATAATGTATTATATTCCTTAACTCGTTTATATAATCCATCACCAACCAACTTAATGTCACGAAAAACAAAGCCACACCTTTTCTTCATTCGTGCATGGCTGAAAGTATTGTCATGGAAATACCAAAACCCTTCCTCCTCCTCCTCCTTCTTCTGCCTGTCCTTTATTTCATCCTCAAGAATCTCAAACATTCAAAATCTCCTCCACTTCCGCCTGGTCCATATCCATGGCCGATCCTCGGAAACCTTCTACAAGTTTTGAACAATCCTCTTGAAACCCTAACAAAACTTGGCCAAACATATGGACCTGTTTTCACGATAAAGCTTGGCTGCCAAAGGGTAGTTGGGGTATCATCACCAGCTGCTGCCATACAAATTCTCAAGACCGAAGACCGCCTTTTAGCCGGTCGAACTGTGCCTCATGTATTACCAGCCCAAAATCCGGAGCTGAACAGCCAATACATTGGATGGGCTGCAGAGTATGCCGAGAGTTGGAAAGACCTACGTACGGTATGCAGAACTCATATTTTCTCAAGCAAAGCAATCGAGTCTCAAGCGCGTTTACGCGAAGAAAAGGCGATGAAAATGGTGACGTATATCGCTTCAATGGAAGGAAAGCCGGTGAAGATTGTTAGCGTGACATTTGCCGCGGTGTTTGACATGTTGAGTCAAATATTTTTGTCAGTGGATCTTATAAATTTTGAGCAAGAGGTTGTGGACGGTTGGCTGAATAGACTATTTAGGGATCTTGTGGAAATGGCTGTTATGCCAAATATATCTGATTTTTATCCCATATTAAGTCGGTTTGACATACAAGGACTAAGAAAAAAGATCGTGAAAATACATGAAAAGATTTGCTCTAAGTGGGAGGGTATAATCGAAGAAAGAAGAGAGAAGAAAAGAGGTGATCATGCTGACTACAATTCAGAGCAGCAGGATCTTCTAGATGCTCTTATCAGCAATGGATCGTTTTCCAATGCTCAAATCATTGTTTTGCTCAGGGTTTGTCTTCCCTGAGTCCTTCTCTTTTAATTCATTTTATTGATTTGAATTTTTAACTAAAATTAAAAAATAAATTTATACGAGATAAAATACTGTAATATAAAAAGTTAAATTTAAATTAAAAAAAAAAAAAAAAAGACTGTAAGTAAAAACTTGGGTTGTGAAAATCAATTTTTACTGGTTATAAGTACTGATAGAGTTTGAAAAGGATATAAGCTTTTCCACTATGTATTATAGCTTAGACAACGTAAGCAGGTAGGGTACGTTTGCCATGCATATTTTAAGAACTGGCCATAAATCATTAACGAGCGTTGTAGAAGTTAGTAACTTTATTACTTTGTTAGAGTTTAGATCATATATATGTATTTTTTTTTTTAATCTTTCAGGAGCTCTTACTTGCGGGATCAGACTCGAGCGCTGCGACAATAGAGTGGATAATGGTGGAACTAATAAGGAGTCCAAGATGTATGAAGATTGTTCAAGAGGAACTCGCTAGAGAAATTAGTCAAGGTATGGTTACAGAATCTGATCTGCCAAAATTCCCATATCTTCAGGCATGTTTTAAAGAGACCCTGCGGTTACACCCTCCCGCGCCACTCCTTATTCCTCGGCGAGCTCTCGAGTCATGCCAAGTAATGAACTACACCATTCCAAAGGACTCCAAAGTCCAAGTGAATGTGTGGGCAATTGGAAGAGACCCCGAGTACTGGAAAGATCCATTAGTCTTTAAACCAGAGAGATTTCTCGATTCGAGTTTAGAATTCAAAGGGAATGACTTTGAATACTTGCCCTTTGGAAGTGGAAGACGCATGTGCCCTGGCATGCCTATGGCTTCAAAACAAGTTCCATTGGTTCTTGCTTCTCTGCTTCATTTCTTTGATTGGTCTCTTCCATATGAGCAGAATCCGGAGAATTTGAGCATGAGAGCAAAATACGGCCTAACACTGGTGAAGGAAGAACCGTTGATTCTCATCCCTAAAATTAAGAGTATCCTTCCTCATGCGAATGAACAATAAATATGCTTTGCGTCAAGTGTGATTGTGCATTTTCATTAAATATTAACTAGCTGTAAAATGGGTTCTCATTCGTAATCAAACGCTATGAGATGTGGCAATGCAGTAAACATATATGAGGCAAATGAAGGTGGTGGAGCATGTTGAGGACTAGTAGATAAAGTAGGAGAAGGATGAGAAGGACCATGGAGAAAGGAAGAATGAGTAGAAGAATGGGAATGGGAGGAAAGAAACTGAGTAGAGACGATTGAGGTGGGAGACGAGGACACAGAGAAAGGAGTAGGAAGTGAAGGACTAGCGGGGATAGGATAGGGAGAAGATGTCGGAGTAGGAGTAGGAAAAGAAGGTAAAAAGGAAGCAAATGAAGTAAAAGACTCAGTCATCATAGCAGGGCTAGCCTGAGAGGAAACAGATTTGAAAGGAAAAGACGACTCATTAAACACCACATGGCGAGAGACATATTTTACTGGAGTTGTAATCAAGACACCCCTATGTTGTGAGCTATATCCTAGAAACACACATTCCACAGATCGGTATTGTAATTTGTGAGCATTAAAAGGACGAATAAATGAGAAATAAGAGCAGCCAAATACATGTAAGAAATCGTAAAGTGGCAATTTGTTATGTAAGAGTTCATGAGGGGACTTATGATGTAGAACCAAGGTAGGCATTCAATTAATTAGATAGACAACTGTTTAAAATGCATAAGACCAATATGCTAAAGGCATGCTAGAATGAGCCATAAGGGTCAAACCAATCTCGATAATATGACGATGTTTTCGTTCGACCCTCCCATTTTGTTCTGGTGTGGCTGGACAAGAGAGGTGGTGGAGAATACCAAGGGTGACAAGAAATGTAGACAATTTCAGAACCTCACCCCCTAATCAGATTGAACTCGTTTAATTTTTGAATTAAATTGAGTTTGCACTAAAGCTTTAAACCGAAGGAAAGCTGTATAAGCTTCATCTTTTATTTTTAGTAAATAAAGCCAAGTGAAGCGTGTATGATCATCAATAAACAACACAAAATAACGAACACCAGTAATTGATTGAACATGACTAGCACCCCACAAATCGGTATGAATTAATTCAAAGGATTTCATTGCTCTTGAGTTTGACAAAACGAAAGGTAAACGATGGCATTTAGCCATTTTACAGGAATTACAAAAAGACATCTGAGATTGCTTAGAACTTAAAAGATTACAAGATTGTAAAATCCTATGCATTATGGGAGAGGCAAGGTGTCCCAAACGGGAGTGCCAGAGATCAGGAGACAATTGATGGAGCAAGCGTATAGGTTGGTGAGGACTTAGAAGAGGAGATGGTGTAGAGACCATTGTTAAGTTTGCCCCGGAGGAGAATTTGCTTGGAAACCTGATCTTTGACAAAGAAAAAATCAGGGTGAAACTCAACAAATACCTGGTTATCACGACACAATTGATTGACACTGACTAGATTTGAAGATAATGCAGGTGTGTGTAAGACTCGAGATAAGCGTAGTGGTTTATGCAGTGAAGATGGAATACAAGTATGCCCAACATTCAAGATTGTAAGAGTCTTACCATTTCCCACCACAACATGATCAGTCCCATGGTATGGCTCAGCATCTTGCAGCAGAGAAGCATCTGGAGTGAAGTGGTGTGTAGCCCCAGAGTCTAGATATCAGGATTGGTCCTGAACAGTGCTTGTAGTGGCTGGATCAAGGAATGGATTTGTAGAACCAAGCTCTATTTCTGAGGATGCAGTGACATTGAAGGCCTTCATAGCTGGTGGTTTATAGCTCACATTAGTCTGCTGATAACAAGTATAGGCAGTGTGATTATCTTTGCCACATATCTGGCAAGGAGATGGCCTGAAAGGTGCTCCAGGTGTTTGTTTAGAGCGACCAGTCAGTGGGGAACTCGGTGGTTTGCCGAGTAAACTAACTTGAGGTGAAACATTGTAAAACGGCTTGGGAGGAGCTCTGTTAGAATATTGGTAAGGACGGGGCTGAGAAGTCTTTGGAGTGGGTATGGGAAAAATGGTAGCAACATTGGCTTGAAGGGAGCTAAGCTGAATAGTGGCGTGTTGTCGAGCAAGTTGAGCCTCAAAATTGAAGAATAGGCTGTGAATCTGCTCAACAGGCGGTGAATCTGGACGAGTACTCACCGACTCAACAAATGGGTTATACTCTTGGTTAATACCATTGAAGAAATAAATAAGGTGATCTTCTCTAGACACCGGGTGCCCAATAGATGCCAGACAGTTGCAGATTTTCCTAATCTTCTGAACATATTCGGCGGCAGACAAGCCATCTTTTCTTAAGGTCTGGAGCTGAGTCCTCAACTCAGTAACCCGAGAAAGAGCAGCAGATTCATACATTTGGGCCAGACTTTGCCAAATTTCTTGAGCCGTATCAAAAAGCACAATCTGAGACATAACGTCTTCAGAAACGGAAGCATAAATCCAACTCATTCAAAGACGATTATACTTGTCTCAAAGCAAAAATTGAGGATTACTCTGCTGTTGATTCAGATCAAGAAAACGAGCTGGGGGTTGCTGAGTCCCATTAATAAAGCCCTCCATACCATTTGTAATTATCACGTTCAGTAGTTGATTTTTCCAAACTAAATAGTTGTCAAAGTTGAGCTTCACAGTAAGGGGTTGATTCATAGACGGAGGAGGAAAATTAGCAGACTAAATAGGAAGATATTGAGGGAAGGTAAGAGGATAATTCGGTTGGAATTGGATTTGGGTGTTTTGGGGAAAGAATGTGGGAATAGTATTTGCAGCGGAATACAGAGGCGTTTGGAAGTTGAATCTGGGAATTGAGGTTTGGTTTAGATTGAAATTTCTTTGTGGAGGAGTGGTTTGATTTGGTGAACTCTGATTTGCTATGGAAGAGGAGGAAGGTATGGTGGTGCTAGGAGGAGCTGAGGTTACAGGAGTTGCCATGGATCTAGGGCTCTGATACCATGAACGGGTTTCTGGAAGGAGGAAGAAGAAAGAAGAAGAAGAAGACGGAGAAAACAAGAATTTGCTCTTTGATAAAATGTATTGTCGTATTGAATCAGAAATGCAAAAGGTGCATTTTATATTAAGGCTGCAAAACAGAAAATTAGGGTAAATAAATTGATTATTAAGCCCATAAAAATAAAGCCCAAAACAATTCTCACAAGGCCTATTAATCCATCTTATCACCACAAAAGCCCAGATGCGCGCACGTACACCATAAAATGGTGTACCATCTGTTTCTCAACCAATAAGATCATAGTCAAACAGTTTTTTACATGACCTACCGGTAGGTCTAAATACGGGGACGCACGGGAGAAACTCTCTTAGAATATTTAAAAACAGAGTATCTAGTGATAAGTTGATTCGTATATCAATCATCTGACGATTCTAAAAAATATTGAGAGAGTTGAGAAATGTATTGCTTCTGATGAATACAAAATATCGATGCAGAATTTTAAAAGGTGTACTATTAACTATCAAAACCCATTTAAAAAAAAAAAAAAAAAAAAAAAAAACTATCAAAAACCTCATAACAAAATACGCAAAAAGGCTTTTAAATAGTAAATGCTAAACCTAATCCTATTCAAATAAGAAAACATATAAAAAAATACCTTTAATACAATAAAATCCCCCTTGAAATTTCCATGTGTACGGTACGGTAAATTTGGTATCTTTTCTTGGACATAGTCTGCGCTTCTGTGTTCTTTTCATTTATTATATAGGTGCACGTGGTCAGAGATTTTTTTTTTTGGCTAATCAAAGAGTTGTTTTTGGAAGTTATTCCTACCTTTATCTTATTGTTTTTAAAGTTATCCTATAATTTCAGATTTCTGTTTGTCTGAGTTGTCGTTTCTGATCTAAGCTGTTGTCTTTTCTAAGCCAACTTGTCGTTTTGAAGAGTCCTTGTCGTGTCCTATCCAGTAGCTACTGAATGTATTTCTGATGGCTCGGGCCTTAAAACGCTTGTTTAATCGTCCAAGAAAACTGGTGAAATCTGCGAAAACTCATTAATCATTTTCCTAAGAATGCACTTGGACGTGTTGTATTTAAATAATGTTATCATTTTTGTCAGCGAATCTCTTGATTAATTCTTCAATACTTTTATACGTAGTTGTCCTAAACTAAGTCTTTTATTTTATTTTATTTTATTTTTTTAAGCGCAAATCAATGTGAACCCTACCAATTCGATAGATATAGTGGAGGAAAAGAAAAAAGAAAATGTTTCAAAGAAATATTAGAGAATCTTCTTCAATAATGTTCGATTTTTGGTTTTATTCATATAATAATATATCATCTATTTTGGATTTTGTCGTACATCTATCTCGATCAATGTTCGATTTTGACTAATTTTTCTTTTTAAGTAACAAACCCACCCACCAGAAAAAGTAGTATGAAGCCCGTTTAGTATAAAATCACTCTCTAGTAGTTCTTTTTTTTATATATATATATATATATATATATATATAAAGCCACTATGGGACTAGAGTCATATTTCATTACTTAGGTCACAAGGTACAAGACTGGAGTAGTCCATCAAAGCCAAGTTGGCCGAGCTACCACAAGGTCTCTTTTATTAGTTCTTTCTTTCTTTTTTCTTTCTGTAGTTGGATTTTTGTTTTTATTTTTTTATTTTTTTATTTTTATTACAAAATAGTACGTGAGAGTATAGTAATATCACCTCTTTTGATCATCATCTAAAACTTTATCCAGCTCATTCATAATTTTACAATATTAACAACTAAATACAAGCATAAGTACTCAACTTGCATGCAGTACACAATTAAAACACTACATAAAATTAACACCTAGCTATTTCAACCTTGCAATTAAACTTTATCGAATATGGTTACCAAAATTAATAAATACTTTACAGGAGCTATTTGTTGCTGGGACAGAGACAAGCAGTTCCACAGTTGAGTGAACGATGGCAGAACTGATAAAGAATCCAAGATGCATGAAGATTCTTCAAGAGGAGCTCATAAGAGAAATCGGCCGAGATCGCGCGGTAAAAGAATCAGATCTCCCTAAGCTAACATACCTTCAAGCATGTCTCAAAGAAATTCTAAGATTACACCCAGCGGGTCCACTTATTCTTCCTCATCGAGCGGCCGAGTCATGCATAGTAATGGACTACACCTTTCCAAAGGACTCTCAGGTTCTGTTAAATTTCTGGGCTATCGGACGAAACCCGAGTTACTGGGAAGATCCATTGGAGTTCAAACCAGAGAGATTTCTCAACTCGAGTATAGACTTCAAAGGGAATGACTTTGAGTACTTTCCCTTTGGTTCAGGAAGGAGATTCTGCCCTGGAATGCCCATGGTTGCCAAGCAGATTCCCTTGATGGTTGCTTCTTTTATCCATTCCTTTGATTGGTCTCTTCCACAAGGAATCAGTCCCAACGACATTGATATGACTGAGAAATACGGTATTGCTATGGGGATGAAACAACCTTTGCTTGTCGTTCCGAAAGCTGAGCATCTTAAATGATATTAAGTAGTACTGGTTGTTTATATAAATATATATATATATATATGTCTCATTCATCTGTAACGAAAGTTTCTATCTGTTTCTGACGAGCTTGATTAATATATAAACAGTTTGGTTTCCCTTCTCAAACAGTTTGAGTTATTAAATATTTGGAAACGTAAGTAGTTAGCGTGATACATAACTTTAACTTAAATTTATAAAAATATATAGAAACAAAAGTATATATATACCTGCAGCTTAATTGAAGAAGAGATTTTTCATAAATGTGCGGTGATCAGTTTGGAAACGAAGACGTTATTGTTTACTCTCACGCATAATTGTTGTTTTTTCTAGATTACAGTACATGAACTATTAATTAATTGCTTGAAAATAAGCTTGAAATAAGGGATCGATATATATAAAAACTTTTAAATTAACTATTTAACAGCAAGTACCACTAACTGCTTGAGGTTGGATATTAATCTGAAATAGAATGCATTATACATTGCTTCTTTTGACATGAGTGGGATCGCATCTACAGATTTTCTTGATCATTTGTTGATTACACACGGCCGGCTCTAGTGTATTGTCACTTCAAACGTCAGCAAACGTTAATATAAAACAAATATATGTGCATGCAGTAATTATATAAATATGTACCTCCTAGTTTCTTTTAGTTTATTTTTAGTTATATATATATAATATTTTAATTTATAACACTATTTTTTGAAATTACAAAATTGAAAAACTAATTTCAAATATTTCAACCATCTCGCAACATGTGGACCAAAAGATATATAGACAATATGTACCGAATTTATTTCAAATTAAGAATTTTCATGTATATAATGTTTATTTAATATATTATTACATGTTTTTAAAAATTAAACCACCAAACACAATTTTAGTTTTTTTTTAAACTGAAAACAATCTCGGAATAAAACTACCAAACACATTTTTAGAAATGATTTCAAAATGAAAGTGAAAACGTTTTCGTTTTCATTTTTATACAAAAAATAAAATTATTTTGGAACAAGTTCCAAATGCACCCTAAGTGTTTTTTTTTTCTGTAACGGAAAGATGTAGTTTTGTGATGATATGTATACATATATATATATATATATTTATATATATTTTGCTATACATTGCTATTTGACATTGATTAGTAAGAAAAAGAGTAGTCACAACTAAAATATCGAACCAATGACTCTGATTATAACTTGAGCTGAGCCAAGACTCGTGTGGTGAAAGCCATAAATCACAAAAGTATTCCATAGATAAGAAAAAAGAAAATGACAAATTAATGTAATAAAAACGTATGAGTCAGCCGCTGAGGAGAGCAGTCTGTAAAGAGTAAAAAGAAACTCGAGTGTTATGTTGTTTAAACATAATAATAAACATCAATTTATAAATCTATTAAACTACCCTGCTTAACCGGTTGGTATTTTAAAATGGAACTCCACATTTTTAGTAAGTCTAAATTCCATCATAGTATCAAAGTTAAGCTAGCTTAATCGAGCGGCTTAATCCATCAAATACAAAATTAGTGATTCCAAAAAGAGTACAATTTTATAAAGGAGTGTAAAAGCTAAAAAGAATTGTGAGTCATACATTGTTTAAACATATATAACAATAAATACTGATACTGAGCAATCCTACTCAACAGATTTAACTTTTTAAAATGAAAGTTCCAAGCCCTTAAAAAGTCGAAATTCCATCACTGGCTACAGTTGCATTCGCTTTTTCATCATGCAAAATGCTAAAGATAAAGCAGTACTCGTGGAAATTCGTACCATAAGAGATAAATTAACATAAGCCTAGTTGGTCACTTTAGGATATAAAAAAGTGGTAATTAATAATTATGTTGGCAAAGAAAAAAGAAAGAGAAAATTAGAGAAGAAAGAAAAAATCGGGGGCATAGTACTCTATGTTAGAGGGAGAAACAAACAAGTTACTATAATCTACGGATAAAATTGCGCGTGAGATAAATTAGGGCAATAGCCCCACACAACCACTATCATAATACATTACATAGACGTTTAGTTCATGGATTAGAATCATAATATTAAAGTTATTTTTGATTTACGTGTATTTTTTATGAGAAAAAATACTGTAGCAAACCATGAACCATGATTCGAATTAGGGTACGAATCTCCCAACCAAACAACAATATTATATGCAGCAGGCTTGCAGCTAGCTAGTGGGAACGGAATCAAACCTTGCTCCATATAAAAAATATTCAAGAATTATTTGATGGTTTGATTCTTAATTCCAAGTGGTTAAATTTAATTTATAATAAGAGGCCACTTGAGTTGGAGTTGTTGTTGTTGTTGTTTTATTATTTATTTATTTTATTTCATTTTATTTTTGATAAATGAGGATGTACACTAGAGTGTTGCACGAAGTACTATTGCACCGACAGCACCATTTTCTTCACTCATGCTTGGCTGAAACTGTTGCCATGGAAACACCAAAAACTTTCTCTTTCAGTCCTTCTTCTTCTGCCTGTCCTTTATTTCATTCTCACGCATTTTTAAACATTCAAAATCCCCTCGAGACCAGAATATTTATGATGTCATAAATACTAGCTAATCCACAAACAAAAAAAACAACAATGTATTCTTTTGTTCACAAGATGAAGACATTATTTTGCTTAGATTTACACGAGCATGATGAGAAACAACTACCTGTACTCATCACAAAAGGAAAAATAGCACACATTACTTTAGTCCAATTCTCGAGGATGGAACAGAATAACATAAAAAATAAAAATAAAAAATAAAAAAACACTCTAATAAAAAAGTTTGAACTCTGGTTTTTTTCCTTACTTCCTAACTTTAGGAACAACAAGCAGAGGTTCTTTCTTCAGCATGTTAATGTCATATTTCTCAGCCATATCCAATTCCTTTGGATCCTTTCCATTTGGCAGAGACCAATCAAATGAATGGACCAGAGAAGCAACGATTAGAGGAACTTGCTTGGAAGCCAAGGGTTGGCCAGGGCAGATTCTCCTTCCTGCTCCGAATGGCAAGTACTCGAAATTAGTCCCTTTGAAATCCAAACTCGAGTTAAGAAATCTCTCTGGTTTGAACTCTAATGGGTCTTCCCAGTGATTGGGGTCTCTTCCAATAGCCCAAACATTCACCAAAATCTCCGAGTTCTTCGGGACGGTGTAGTTCATCACTTGGCATGTCTCGGCAGCTCGGTGAGGAATCGGAAGCGGTGCAGGAGGGGGTAGCCTCAGGGGCTCTTTAAGGCAGCATTCGAGGTATTTCAACTTTGGAAGATCACATTCCATCACCATTTCTTGGCTTCCGATTTCTCTTTCGAGTTCTTCTCGAAGAATCTTCATGCATTTCGGATTCCTTACAAGTTCTGCCATTAGCCACTCTACTGTGGTGCTACTGCTGTCTGTTCCAGCGGAAAACAACTCCTACAAATTTATTACATGATAAATCAGTTTGGAATATTCGTTATGATAATGTGTTTGACGGACAAATATTAATTTGAGGTAAAGATAATTTTTTATCAAAATTACTTCAACAACATTTTAAGAACAGGAAGTGACAACACATTAAAATTAATTATACTTTCTCTATTATTTTACAAGAAAACAATCTAACGGTAAATTCAGGAATTATAAATAAAAATAAAAAAGTATTATGATACATCCCTAGGTTAGTTCGCTAATCCATCTTAAAAACTTAAGTTGTTAAGAGGTAGACCGGCATTTTTATATTTCAAACACTCTCTTAAGTGTGAGCCGGATAATAAGCAATCGCGTAAGTAAATTAATAGTAATTATATATAAAATAACATATTTTTCAAATGGTTTTTAAGTAAATAACATATTTTTAATCATGTAAATAATATATTTTCTGATAATACATATGCCGTGTGTTTTACCAATAAATATTATATTTACTCCGCATAAATAAATATTTACATTCAATCGTCTCAAAAATATATATTTACTTAAAGACCGGTTTCGTTGGTGAAAAATGTTTCCGCTGATAATGGGAACGTGCCTAAACGCACGTCGTTGTTCCGAGACTTTTAAGGGCAGATCATGGAGAGAAAGAAGAGAAAAAAGGAATCATACCAGAAGGAGAATGTTAATCTGAAAATCAGGATAGCCATTTTCTAACATGGCATCAAGGAAGTCTAATTGAGGCCTTGGTGAAGCATCCTTATAATAAGACTTTCTCATCTTCTTTCTTTCTTTGACGATGTCATCCCATAGTTCACAAACCTTGCCAAACATTTCCATGGACTTCTTTCTCAGCTTTTGTAGATCCAAAGGACCTAACATGGGATACATATCGGATATATTCGGAATACCGCCGAGGCCGAAGAGTTCCCTCCAAAACGCGCAAATTCCTTGGCCATTTACACTTTCATACTCCAACTCCAGATTCAGAAAATCTCTCGAGACCATAATATTGCTCATCATGTTAAATATGGAAGCAAAAATTATGTCCCTAAACTTCATCGCCTTGCCTTCCATTTTACCTATGAATTCCAACATCTCCATTATCTTTTTCTCTCTTATGCTTGCTTGAGATTGCAATGCTTTGACTGAGAATAGCTCAGCTCGGCAAAGTGCACGCATGTTTCTCCAACTATCATTGCACTCAAAAGTCCATCCAAGTGAGAAATTGTTCAATTCAGGATTCTTAGCCGGTATGATGTGAGGAACATATCGCGCCGATAAATTTCGATCGTGGGTCTTCAAGATCTCCATTGCGGCAGCTGGTGATGATCCAACGATGAGGATTTGAGAACCAAGTTTAATTGAGATGAGATCAGAGCCGTAAGTTTTCGCAAAGCCCGCTAGGGTTACGTACAGAGGCTCCTTTTTTAGATGAGGAATGTTGCCCAAGATTGGCCATGGAAATGGACCTGGTGGAAGTGGTGGGGATCTGGAAAATGAAGCTTTCAAGCGTTTGGCGACAAAGAAAATGAGAGGTAAAAAGATGATGAGAAGAGTTGGGAAGAGAAGATTGGATTCTTGTGGGAATAGTATTACAGTTGGAGACATTTTGATGATTTTTATCATCTAGCTAGTATTGCTGCTTCTTTTCGAATGCAGTTTGTGTGTGGAATTGTTTCATCATTTTATAACATAAAGTCTGCTACTTAGTGCTTACCTACAACAATGCAATAATGGCTGGAATATTTATATATATATATATATATATATATATATATCAGTGATACAATGATGCTTACCCTACAAGTGCAAAATAAGTCTTTCTTTACTAATAATACAAATCTCCATAATGAAAAGAAAAGATGGCCTCCTATTTACCTCTCCAACCTATAGTGGAAAATCTGCTGAAATGATGAGGCATATAGAGAATAATTTTCTAAAGTGAGATTCCTATCATTGCCTTCAAATTAAAGATTCAGGTTTTTTAAAAATAGTGGTCTAAACAATGCATAGATTTGTACTACAATTTAAACTTTTTTATTATAATGTTTTTTCTTATAAAATTTTTGAATCTCTATTCGAATCAATGAACCACGTAGAACTATTATTTTGTTAACTCATTCTAATTATGTCCTTGTAAACAATTTTTCTTTTTAATTTCTTTTTTCATAAGAAATCCTTTTATTTTATTTTCAATTCATTGTTTTTAGGTCATTACTGGTTATAGGGTGTTGTCGTTGCCAAAGTTATTGTATTTTGCAGAATGTGTTGTTTTTGTGTTATCATACTCTTTTTAAGAGGTTGGCTGTTGTTTTTAAGAGGTTGTCTCCGGTTCTGATATCAGTCACTGACCTCCTGTTATAATCTATCAGATGATGAAATATAATCGGACAGATTATGATCTCTTATTGGTGCCATGAATACTGGAGTCGGAGACAACATCTCATTTTTGTCTGAAAATAGAAAAATAATCTAGCAGATTATTTTCCTTCCACTCTTTTCCTCCTACCAAGCTACCCACTTTATCATTTTTCACTCAATAATATAATTTCCACTATTTTGGAGCTCTTAGCTTAGTTAAGAAAAATAGAATTTAGTTAAAAATTATTATTTTTGGATTTGTTGGTAAGCAAGAGGTGGCGTAAGAGAGTGAAATATAGATGCTACAAGCAGGAGGTGGCTATTTAATATCTTGGTGTTGTAGAATAAAGACGCGTGGACATCTAAGTGATTAGCTTCAAGGAGTCACATATTTTGTGGCAATTAATTAACGTACCAAAGGAAAGTATAAGCAATGAGCTTGAAGTACTTCTTCGTTACATACATATATTCTACGGCATAAAAAGAGAACGTGAAAAGAAAGAAAAAGAAAGGAGAGGAAAGAAAGGAAAAGAAAGAAGAGATAGAGATAGAGAGAGAAATAGAGAGAACGAAAGAGAAAATTAAGTGAGAGTAGTTTTCCCCCTTAAGCAGCTTGATTGTGAGATCTAGCTCCACTACATCATTTGAACATATATTTCTAATGACAATTTTCAGTTTATAAATATTATTGTTGATATTATTTTATGAGTTTTTGAAAGTATTTTTCTTAGTGTGACGTGAAATTATGCGCTTATTATGTACTAAAAAATGGTTAAATCTTTGAGGAATGGAAGATTTCAAGGTAGGAGCTACATGAAAGAGTCTAATAACAAGAGATCAATTTTATACAAAAAGACCTTAAAGTTAAAAAGAAGTATTTTAAAAGTGGATTGATTTATGATTTACTTATTAAGCGCAAGTTCATATATAGTTCATGTGACGCAGGTAAGCTTCATATTTGAGGTTTCGATTGATTGAGAAAGAATAGTTTAAGATCCCATGACGAGTTTAGAAAACCTTAAGATTTGAGATTTATAATTCTGAGTGTTCTGTATAAGATTTTTTTCCCTGTAATGTTATTTTTATTATTTTATTTTAACTAAGTTAACGTTTCTCTTGAATTAGTGAGGTTTCTAGCTGCTAACTTGAGGGGAACATTACAAATAATTCCTACACCCTCTTCCTTCCTTCATCTTTTTTGGTAATGGTTTGGAACACATTTTCTCACGTTTCTCAAGCTGTTGAGGAAATTACATAGGATGGAAAACATAAATGATAAAAAGAAAAAAAAAATCCAGTTTCCCATTTGTTTTCAATGTTTTATATGCTGAAAATATGTTTCTAGAATATAACCGAACAAATTTACTTGTTTTAGTACTCAGAGAAAACAGCCCCATTTTAAGGGACAATTTTAATTTTTAGGCAATCATCTCCAATAACTTCATAAAAAAAAAACAAAACAAAAACAAAAACCCATGATGACATAAATGCTAGCTAATCCACAAACAACAAACAACCTTTTGTTTAGAAGGTGAAGACATTATTTTGCTTTGATTTATACGAATACGATGAGACAGTTACATGTACTCATTACAGCAGGATCAGCTAGCACACACTACTTTAGTCAACCCTTGAGAGATGGAGTAGAAAGTTTAATAGAAATTTAAATTTATTAAGAGAAAATACTGAGGTAAAAAAGTTTGAACTATGGTTCAAATTTGCGAAACAAACAGAAGGCCTATTCATTTCCTTACTTCCTTGCTTTAGGAACAACAAGCAGAGGTTCTTTCTTCAGCATGTTAATGTCATATTTCTCAGCCATATCCAAGTCCTTTGGATCCTTTCCATTTGGCAGAGACCAATCAAATGAATGGACCAGAGAAGCAACGATTAGAGGAACTTGCTTGGAAGCCAAGGGTTGGCCAGGGCAGATTCTCCTTCCTGCTCCGAATGGCATTAGCCCCTTTGAAATCCAAGCTCGAGTTAAGAAATCTCTCTGGTTTGAACTCTAATGGGTCTTCCCAGTGATTGGTGTCTCTTCCAATAGCCCAAACATTCACCAAAATCTCCGAGTTCTTCGGGACGGTGTAGTTCATCACTTGGCATGTCTCGGCATCTCGGTGAGGAATCGGAAGCGGTGCAGGAGGGGGTAGCCTCAGGGGCTCTTTAAGGCAGCATTCGAGGTATTTCAACTTTGGAAGATCACATTCCATCACCATTTCTTGGCTTCCGATTTCTCTTTCGAGTTCTTCTCGAATAATCTTCATGCATTTCGGATTCCTTATGAGTTCTGCCATCAACCACTCTACTGTGCTGCTGCTGCTGTCTGTTCCACCGGAAAACAACTCCTGCAAATTAATTACATTATAAATCTGTTTGGAATATTCATGACGATAATGTGATTAGTTAGTTGTTTAACAACGGTCGGACAAATAATTTGTGTATATTGTGTGAGATGATATGGTAGATTATAATGCGGTAGGTGCAGAGCTTCAAATTTAAGACTACTCTTTCTTAAATAGGAAAATACCTAAAACACTAATGTATTTTGTCATACCACTTTCGATTCTCTTATTATGCAAATGCCTAAAACTTTAGCCTCTTGTGTTTATAAAAACATACCTAAAACACCCTCTAAAACAGTTAAATTTTTGAAAATGTCATGATCACCCTTTTCAATTTGTATTAAATGTTATTTTAGATATAATTTTCTTCCCCTAGAAAATAGAAACTGGCTAATCCATTTACACAGTATACCCTTACTTTTATTTGAATATTTACTTCACATAAGGGTACGTTTGTAACCATGCTTATTTATTCCACTTACTTCTAATTCTTTAGCAAAGGAATTTAATTCTCTTTATAATTTAATAACCCAATAGATTAGTAAAAACTGAAAATATGAAATTCCTGGAACTTAATTTCGTGGAACTTCAACCTTTTCTCTTAGAATTTATTTTATATATATATATATATATTTTTTTTTTCAATTCATGATCAGTAAATGTACCTTAAGTGAAAAATGTTTTCGAACATACGAACTTGTCTGAGGCATGTCATTCATACTAGTCTTTAAAGGAAGATCATGGAGACATAGTAGAGACTAGAGAGAGAAGGAATCATACCAGAAGGAGAATATTAATCTGAAAATCAGGAGAACCATATTCTAACATGGCATCAAGGAAGTCTAATTGAGGCCTTGGTGAAGCATCCTTATAATAAGACTTTCTTATCTTCTTTCTTTCTTTGACGATGTCATCCCATGTTTTTCTAACTATCATTGCACTCAAAAGTCCATCCAAGTGAGAAATTGTTCAATTCAGGGTTCTTAGTCGGTACGACGTGAGGAACATATCGTGCCGATAAATTTCGATCATGGGTCTTCAAGACCTCCATTGCCGCAGCTGGTGATGATCCAACGATGAGGAGTTGAGAACCAAGTTTGATTGAGATGAGATCAGAGCCGTAAGTTTTCGCGAAGCGCGCTAGGGTTACGTATAGAGGCTCGTTTTTGAGATGAGGAATGTTGCCCAAAATTGGCCATGGAAATGGACCCGGTGGAAGTGTTGGGGATTTGGAAAATGAAGCTTTCAGGCGTTTGGTGACCAAGAAAATGAGAGGTAAAAAGACGATTAGCAGAGTTGGGAAGAGAAGATCGGCTTCTTGTGGGAATAGTTCAGTTGTAGACATTTTGATAATTTTCATCAACTCTTTTAGAATAATGCAGTAAGTGGTGCTCTTGTATCGTACCCAGTTTTTTTGGGGATTGTTTATTTTATTCTATTGACGCCCTCCTACGAAAATTGAGGCTTTATTTTGAAAAAAAAAAAAAAAAAAAAAAAAAAAAAAAAAAAATTTTTTTGGGGGTTTTTTTTTAAAAAAAAAAAAAAAAAAAAAAAAAAAAAAAAAAAGATAAATATTTTTTAAAGTATATAAGTCTAAATTTTTATTTTTTATTAATAATTTTTTAATTAAATAATTAGATTAGTTAAAAAGATATTAAATAATTAGATTAGTTTAAAAAAATATAATTAAAAATAAGAGATTTTCTTTAAAACAAAATAAAAAATAAAAATTTAGACTTATATATTCTAAAAGTAACATCATCAATTTTCTCTTACTTTAACTGATCTATTAAAATCTCATTGCTACGGCCATTTTTAATACCCCAAGCTAGCTCGGTGGGCTGCTTGAATCATTCGTTTTTGTAGTCTACTCGTTCCGTCCATTTAAATAAATTAATAGAGAAGAGTTAGTGACTGGTATGGTATGAAATACCTTAGCAGGACATAATTTGTAAGCGTAAATTAAATCTATGTACAGGTTTTAACCGTCAGATTGATTTCAGGATTTGATTGATGAAGATTTTACGGTTCTAGACTTGTGTCCCGGTTCAGTTGATTACTTTTTAACACTCTACCATAGAGAATGCGAGGCTCAATGTTAAAGAACTAAAATAAGAAATTACGCAGTAATGAGAAATCAAGAATAACTCAAAAGTAATTAAAAGACAATTTCATATATAACAAATAATTTCAACTACATGATTTTCATGAAACAGGATGGGATGACATTGACTGGACTATTAATTATAACAAAAGAATTTCAGCATACACATAAAAGAATGAAAGAATAATAATGAACACAACAACTTGACTCCAAATACTAGAACTAATCCCTGAATCTAGGAAAGAAATTGAAATCAGTATTTCCCTTACTGCTGTATTAATACAAATAAATGGTTCTGACTCTTTTTTTTTCTTTTTATCTGCAAGAAAAGAATGAAAGAATGACTTAGATTTTCCCCCCTACCTACAAAGAATTCTGTATCGCTTTTGTTTTTCCTTTTTTTTTTTTTTCTGTATGCAACAACAATGGAATATGGTGTATGTTTTTGTGTGAAGAAAAGAAGAAGAAAAATCCCCATCATCATGATCATCATCATCAATCAACACGGTTGCGAAAAAGATGATGAGCTTCCTGCAAGATCAACTGGTGTCCATGCTGAGACCGTGAAGAGAGGCTGATCTTGCCACCCAAGTGTGATTGCAGCCCCATCTTGACCTTGCTCCTTCACATTGTAGTCCTCACAAGAGTACATCTTCAACAGCAGCCTGCTCTGCATCACCTCCCTCTCCCCGATCCTCGCGCTTCGGAACCCTCCTTCCTCCATCATCCTCCTCCACTTCTCGAACCTCTCGTGCCTCTCAACTCTGTCCCCGCGCTCACACGCCACAATGTTCCTTATCTCCCTCGCGAACATCTCCTCCACTTTGATCCTTACGCCGCTATCCAACGGAAGCTGGCTAGCATCAATGCAGTCGAATATTGCCGAATAGTACTTGAGAGAATTGCACACTCTTACTTCCAACCTGGGGTCATTGTGCTCTGCTTCCTGCTCTGCCATAACCACGACCGTCGGGTTTGTGCTCCGAATTAGCCCCAAGAAGTCGCGGAAAACGCCTCCATTGGGGTCGTAAAGCGTCTTGTGAAGCTGAAAGACGCAATTCACAGCCACACTCTCCTGCTCCTTGACATGAAGCATCCAAAGCCTAACATCCTCAAGCCTGTCCACAACCGGGTGAAACTCAAACGGTAGGTTTAGCGCCTCTGCAAACCCGGCCAACCTATCTCCTGTCTCGTTCAGCTCTTGCTTAGACTCTCCAATACCAGTGATCCTGACATGGCTAGGAGGATTAGTCCTAGAAGCCAAGCTTTGAAACAAACTAGGCCACTGCAAGCCTTTCCTGATGTCGAAATCGATGATGTGAACCCGGTCCTTCCCTTCGAAAGCCCGCAGCAACAACTCATTGGAAGTGAAGTGAAGGAACTTGGGAATTGGTGTAACCTGATTAAGAAACCTCAATGGAGAGCCAGAGTCCTCATCAAGCCTCTCAAACTCCCTCGGAGGCGTGATGTGAAAAATCTGTGGCCAAATCCTCGCAACTCGAAGCGCTAAAGCCTCTGTGTAGTAAGCCGTCAGGCGACTTAAAGGACTAATTCCTCTGGGAGAAGCAAGATCGCCTAACTTGGCAATGTAATGGCTAATCCCATGAACGCTTTTCGACCCAATTGCCTCCACACAAGCAGTAAGAAAACTGATCAGCTCAAACCCCTCATTCTCGCCTCGAATCCGAATGTCCTCGTCCTCCTCTGCCTCCACAACTCCGGAACCTCCATAGTAAGGATTTCTACTAGACCCATTTCCGACTTCATACTCAGGAACAGCCTCATTGAGCCTAAGGGCCAATCTCTGGCTCTCCGAGGAAGCGCTAGATGCCCCAGAGGTCTCCCTCCCCTGCCCGTGCCCGTGGCTAGTCTCGCCCTCGGTGATCTCGGTCACCACTGAGTCCAACCAAGCATTGTTTGACAATGGTGGCAAAGTTGGAGACGACACATAACAAACCCTCTCTTCTTCTTCTTCTTCGCCTCCTGAAAATGTTGTCAAAGAGAAAGGAACTTGAGGGTTCAGCCAAAAGTTTCCGGTAGTACCCAATTGGCCTAAACTACTCCTCAAAATTTCCTCCTCTTCATGATCATCTTGAAAACCCCTTATCCTCTTGGCTCTGCTGCTTAAAACTGACTCATCCACTGACCCCTGCCTCTTCAAGCTCTTCGTCTCCTTCTGCGCTGGCACGGTTGCCGCCGTTGTAGCGAGAGGCGGCAGCCTGATGCTCTGCTTCAGCGAACAAGCGGCGGTGCTCTTCTTCTTCTTAGACTCGAATTCGATCTGTTTCTCCACAGAAAGGCCGACAACGGGTGGCCTAATAGGCTGCGGCGGCCGCGAAGTCTCCTTCCGGGAGAAACTGCAAGGAAGGTCCAATCTCTGTGTGCTCATAGGGAAATGGCAAGCCTGGAACTGTGCTGGTGCTTCACTCCTCAATCTGTGCCTCGGCGATAGCAATGTCGAACTAGAAGAACACCCTGCCAACATTCTTCTCTAATGGCCTTCCAATTTTTTTTTCCTTTTTTGTTTTTTCGTTACCCTTCTTTCTTTCTCTTACAATCAATCTGTTCACTAATATGCGGTGGTTTTTGTTTTTTTTTTTTTGGTTTTTCTGTATAAAGTCTATAGTAATTCACACAACAATCCCTTTGAATGAAGAAGAAAACTTATGAAGAGATCAGAAAACCCCGGAAGAATACTAAAGTGAGAGTGTGTGTGAACTTTTTTTTCTCCCCTTTTTTTTTCAAAACAAACTAAACGAAGGAAAAAAAAAAAAAATAGGAATCCGATGAATAACAACAACAACAATAACACCGAAAACAAATCAAACAGAGTGTTTTGTGAGTGTGTTCCTATAAGTACAAGAAAGAATGATCAAATTCCCCAACCCCCTAAAAAGAACGAAAAGAATGAAAGAATTTCCAATCCAATAAATGAATAATAATAGTAATAGTATAAACTATACTAAGAACAAGATCATCGGATTCCAAAACCTTCAAAGCAAACTCATTGATTTTTTTTCACAAGGCAAGGGATGGAAATGCAGAAGAAACGTACATGATGAAACCGGGGGCACAGAAACCGAGAAACAATAAGCTCAGAACTTGACGAGAAATCCATGAAGAACTCCACCATGTCTGAAAGTACTACCCAATCACAAGAAGCAGCAAGCAAGTAATACCCAGATGAAACCATAAACCATAGAAGAAAGACGTAGTACTCTCTCTCTCTCTCTCTCTCTCTCTCCTCTCTTTCTCTCTCTAAGCAATTCTCTTCTTCTTCTTCTTGTTCTACTACTACTACTAGTATTCCTAGAACTTAGAGTACGACCCTCAAAGCTTACATTACATGGCTAGTCTCCATCATGGGGCTTTTTCTTTTTTCTATGATTTACCAGAGAGAGAGAGAGAGAGAGAGAGAGAGAGAGATAGGAGAGAAATGATGATGGGAGAGAGTGAAAAGGATGTTCAAGAAGGGTCGAGGAGAGGGTGAGTAGAGGCCACCAGATCCTGATCAGACGATGGAAAATGGTGTCCTATGTGACCGTTAGGGTGTGTCGGTAAAATATGACCGTTGGGAAGGAGTTGGTGTACGGAAGGGTGTGCGATTGGATATTATTCTCGGATATTATTCTCTCTCTCTAACACTAACAATTACAATACTACTAATAATACTTACTATATGTTGGTATTCACGCAGCCACACGTGGCTGTTTCCTTGCCTGCCCCCAACTTATTATGGTTTCCGTTTCACTTGACCGTTGTGTTATATCATTTCTTTTGTTTTCTTTCTTTTTTTTTTGTCTTTGTTATTCTACTACTTTTATTTGTAATCTTTACTGTTTAGTACGTGATTAACTTCCTTAACTTCTTTTTATGGGTCCTGAGATTAATTGGTTATTTATGGGACTTGGGAAATTCAGGAAAAGCAACCCGTGGTCCGTGGATGTAGCTTGAAATTAAAATAAAAACAAAAAAAAAATGGTCTCCTTTATTTTGTTTGGTGGGGTCCACCCAGACCCAATAGTCATGGTCAGCATCATAAGTGCTAGTCAAAACTGCTCAAAAATTGGGTAGGACTTATCAGTCGTGTGACACCAATAGTCTAACATATAAAATCGATCGTTATTTGAGAAAAAAAAGAAAACATATAAAACCAGTTCTATAAGTAGGAATGCGCATTAAGACAATAACTTCGAAAATTTCCAAAAAAAAAAAAAAAATCATCTATGAAGTAAATGCTCTAATTTTACATGTTAAACGAACTTTAAGACAGACCCAATAGTTTTATCATGCCAAAATAAACGTAAGCATCAGAAAGTAGATTAATTATATTAAGCAGTTCAAATTCTTTACCTTTCCCTTTACGGTGCCCAATTTTGCATAGAGGCGGTATGTACATACAAATTATAAAGTAGAGAAAAATAATTATTCAACACAAATAGAAATGTAAGAACGTATTGGGCGCGTTTGAAACTCGTTCTAAATTTTTTTTTTTTTTTGTATAAAAATGAAAATAAAAACGTTTTCAATCTCAGACAAAAATTATTTTTAAAAATGCATTTAGTAGCTTTATCAATAGATTATTTTCAGTATAAAAAACCTCATTAATGTCTCTCACTCTCTTTCTGCTCGAGAGAAGAGAAAATAAAAAATAAAAATAAAATTTATTTCTCTTTTATTTTAAACTAAACTAAAAAATCATTTTTATTTCTGTTTTTTATCTTTATTGTGTTAAACGTTGTTTTAAAAACGTTTTTATTTTTTTTTTATCAAAAAACGTAAAAAATAAAAACGGAATTAATTCCAAACACGACTATTATTTTCACTATATTGCTGCCACTACCCAATTTAAAATCGAAATCCTGCCTTTAGAAAAAAGAGAAGGAAAAAAAAAAGTTAAAAGGTGAAAGTGAAACAGAAAAGGATCCTTCATGTTAACGGTAATTAGTAGGGAACTCTGTAGATAGTAGATACCATGATGTCTATTCAAAACTATTAACCAAAAAGTTGAGAGAGAGAGAGAGAGAGTTTTCACTGAATTGGATTCTAAAACCCAACTGGAATACAAAGCACAACGAAGTTGCTGCTAAAGCTGCGACAACGATAATAATAATTGCCAAAAGCAAGCAAATGGATACTGCTACGAAGAATTTGCTATACTTATTTTTTTTCCTTTTAATTTTTCGCTTGAAAATATTACAGTACTATCTGAGTATCAATTTCTCTCAGAAAATATATTATCATCTTTGAAACATATAAAGCAATCTCTAAATGGCCAACAAGCATAAATTAGAGAACACCATCCATAAGAAGCTTTCAGTAATGCCCTGTGTGTGAAATTGATTATGTATCTCATCTTTTTAACACCATAAATATGTACATGACCCGAAATGACAGGCATTGTTTCTGCTTTGCCCTTTTTGCGTTTGATCCTGCTCATCGACTCAAACGTCAATTTTCAACCAAACGGTGACAATTGACAGCCAATATTTCATGTGAGACTATGTATCTTAAATAAATTGAAAATGTTTTAACAGAGTATGTGGACTATCTCTGCGATTGCGGAGTTGTATCTTAAATCAACTCCAAATATAAGGCCTCTTGTTTGCTGGTTAGGCCGAGTTCATTCAGCGTCAAAGCACTCTCCCCATCCTCGAAAGCACGCCTAGGATACGGCCTTACCTGTTCAAGCAATGTGAGTACACAGTAAGCCAAACGGACTATAGTTTCTTAAAATAGGAGGAATAATATGTCAACTCATGAAGCACATACATAAAAGTAGTGCACAAACATTTTCTATTGAATACCCAAAGCAACATACAATTCAATCGAATTTCAGTACGTAAGGAATGAAGCAAAGGCTTTACTTACCAATCTGTAAGAGCCAGGTTTGACTGCTCTACCAATGTCTATGAAGTCAAAAAGAGACTGCAAGCCATGTAGCAATCAGGTTAAATTTCAGCAAGAAGAAAATGTGACAGAAAAGAGAAGGTTGAAACTAACTATTTCTAATTAACCAAAAATTACCTGCAGCTTGTCAGATTTGAGAAATCGACGGCCTCGGCGGCTTCCATCTGGCATTCGCACCAAAAGGGTTACAGAATTCTCATCATCTGAGGCTGGTTCCTGACGCAAAGTAGCTTCCTTCGCAGCTAATAGTCTCTCCAATTCCTGCCAATAAGAATCATAGACAATGAAAGAAACAACTTGAAAATACTAGTCACCAAGAAAATAATAGAATGAAGCTCTAGTTAGATACTTCTCGAGTCATTATCAAAACACAATTATTCAAGAACAGTTTCCAAGGAGGTTTTGTCTACAGATACAAGCAGGAAATATACACCTTGCCATTACGAGCACGCTATTGGCAAACAGGACTTACTCTTAAAACGTCTCAAAAGATGAAAAAGGACACTAAGCAACCATTTCAAAAGTTAAAATATGAGCTAATATTTAGAACTGTGAATTTTCATCTTAAGGAGCGTATCATTAAACAGATAGCTGATTTCAATGTGGGAGATGTATATAACCAATTTCTAATAATCCACACTGCTGTAAGGACGTATCCATGACACTACCTTCTCCTCCTCCAATTTTCTGCGAGATTCTTCCTCCATTCTTCTTTCCTCTTCAAGTCGAGCTTCAGCCTCCTGCCTTGCTCTCTCTTCCTTTTCTCTGTCAGCTTGCAGTGAAGCAAGATATTCATCATCCTGAAAGCATCATATCAGAAGAAAGAATTAGGACGTCATTTTATATGAGCTGACATTAAGAAAATTTCTAGATATGAAACCTGTTGTTCACGTATCAAACGCTGAGCTGTCAGCGAAGGTGAAGGTGGGCGGGGTATCGGCCGGGGATAAGAACGCTCAGACTGCATAAATTGATGAGGTGCATATGGAAAGTGATACCCAGTTCCTTCAGGTATTCCACCAAACATTGCAGCCTCAAGCATTACTGCTTCGTCATGCTCCTCTGATGAGAGGCCTCCCCACTTCAGTTTGGTAAAGGACAGAGTCAAAAAGTAAAGGCGTAAATATTAAACACAAAATGATCAAACTGTGAACTGAAACACTACTCAATTAAAGCTGCATACAACCTCAGAAGGGAAGGCATCTCCGTTGCGCACTGGACTAGTACCGCTATTAGGCTGTCTAGGACTCAATGGTGGACTAGCCTCAACAACCCCAACCTCTTTCGCAGATTCGCCTGAGCCAGAAGACATCTGTCTGGATCTATGCCTTACAAGAGGCTGCTCGTCCGAATCTTCAATCTCATCTTGAATCAATGACCTTCCAGCCTCCAACCTATATTGACTCAACGCACTATCATTAGATCATTTGTTTCCAATACCAAAGAACAGTAGCACACAGACCAGACAGAAAGAGGGAGTCGTGGCTGACGTATGATTTTTCTGAAAATTATACAGTTATAAACGACAAATACCTTCCATTTGTTGCTGCTAAATTATCCAGCTCCACCTCCACGGGCTTAGGAGCTCCTCCTGATGATTCACCTAAGCCCCTTTCCTGCTCACGCAATGCTTTTTCTTGTTCTGCCGTCTGGAATTCGTTCACATTATTTAAGACCCAATACAACCATAAAAGACAACAAATCATAAAGAAGAACAGACCTTCAGCGACAAAGAAACTGCATGTGCAAGTTCGTCATCCTGCAATTGAGGTTGTCTTTGCCCAGGTCCCAGATTATTCAAGTCCTGCATCAAGATCGAAACAACTTAATAACTGAAGCATGTAGCTTCTATTAGCAGCCGACAACGTGGAAGTTCAACACGCCGCCATGAATGTGAAGAACATACACTTTCTGCACCAAATGACTGATTTGGAAAGCCTTCTTCAACCTCCCGTTTAGAAGCCTCAATGGCAGCTCGAATCATTTGTTCTTCAATGTCATTACCATAATCTGGCAAGCTATCAAATCGAGGAGCACTAGGTCCACTAGATTGGTCACGAGATCCATCATGTGAAACATCATCCCTTCGCTCACTCCATTGCCCTGCTTGAGCAGTTGGCCCAGTAGGAACCTCATCTTCATCATCAACAATTATAGTCCCATGGATATCAGGGCCTTGTGTGTGTGCCGTTTCAGCCACATCGGTCACGTCCTCAACGAGAGGAGCATGTCCTAGATGGCCAGAAGGCTGATTGCCATCCTTCACTTCTATGGGGATCTCCCTAACCTCTCTTGGATGAGTGACAACGGGCTCAGTGTTTGCGAAATCAGTACCCCTATCAAATATGCTTCTACTGAAGTTTGGATCAAGAAGTGAAAAGGGATTCAGATTTCCAGCTGCAGATAGACGTGGAAGAGGACCTTCCCAAGGTTCATCTTGAACGGAATCATCAATATCCATAAAATCATTTTGAGCAGCTACTTGTGTTTCACGCACACTGGATGTGAGAATAGAAAAATGTGACGTCAACATGAAAGCAAGTATGGATGATGAATAAAAAGGAAAGTCAAAGCAAGTATTCATCAAGTTAAGTTACAGTGTTAAAATAACGTACTCTGATAAAGCATGTCTGTCTCCTTCACTAAAATGTGCATTCACAGCTGCATTGAGATCTTCACCATGCTCCTAATTGCAGAGGAAATAACAAAATTATTAGTGCCTCAAAATAATTTTTTTTCTTTCTAGGTCACTTTGGACGGCAGTAAAAGTTGGAAAGAAACCAGCAATAAGCCTAAGGTCCAAAAGAGCTGAACGTAGCACTCTACAAGAAATTATAGTTTACATACGAACGGTAACTAGGTATGAAAATCAGTTAACATAGAAGCCAATGCACTGACGTGAAAAAGTACTTTATGAAGCTCAAACTACACTTGACTGGAGATAAATTTAGTTAGCATAGAGATTTGACACGGCACAGTAGTAAAACCAGTTCCATGTGAGAATGACAATATAAGACTTAAGAGGACACATTCTTGAAGGGTTTTTCTTTGTTCCTTTCGTGCATAAGACTCACCAAGCACAAAAGAAGATGAACAGTACGCCACATAATTCAGTTCAATGAGAGGAATGGCCAATGCATATTTAACATTTAGAGGTCATTACCTCAGTAACTCAGTTGTTACGATCCCATGTTTCACTCCCCATTGTATCTTTATTTCTCACAGAAATAGAGAAGAAAAACACCCAGTTTATAATCCATAGCCCATCAACTATTACGGAGAGCGATTTCACTTGCCTCTTTTTATTATTTTTTTTTTGTATTTTTTTATTTTTTTATTTTTTTGGGCTTGGAACCAGATGAATCAAAAGCCTGCCAATTAACCAATGGAAACCAATAAATGGATGAACAATCACCTAAAGAAAACAGCAACAATAATAACCTGTCTGTCAATGCATCTCCAATTCCATGATGGCTATGATTTCAATTTCCTAACATCATTTCCTCCGGCCTCAAGTAAAACAGTTAGAATCCTTGTGAGCATCAGCACATCCCACGACTAATTTGAATTGAACCCCCCTCACTCTATTCTCCATTGAATATATTCCTTCCTTCCATCCCATTTTCTCTTTCATTCCATTCAAATGCAAGATTCAGTTTCTCCAAGTTGCAGCCCACCGATTAACTTCAAAGATTTTCAAGATTCGATCTTTTTCTTTTGGAAATTAACACCTGATAATGATACCCCAAATAACAGCCAGAAAACAAGCGGACATGCTTCATATACCTAAAAACCTATCACTCTCAAGAATAATAAGCATGCCAAATGCAAACTTAATCAGCTGAATTACTTCAAATCAACTACTACAAGCAAAACGCAATTCAGAATTGCAGCCTAATATCCATAACCATTTCCAGATAATCTCCAAGCAACAAATCACACAAATTTCGAATTTAAAATCCAATGACAATGCAGCAGAAACCCTAATTAAGCACCGAAGAAAACATTAACCAATCGCTAATTCTCCATATCACTGAATCGAAAATCAATCACAACTTTCTCATTAAACACTTCAAAATCCATTGACGAACAAGAAAATATTTAAAAAATCGAAAATAAATGGAAAAAGAAAAGAAATCAAACCTCGAGCTTTTGAACGGCGACGGCTTCGGATGCGCCGGTGATGCTCATGAAGGTCTCAATCGCTTCCTGATTAGGTCTCGCCATTGAAATCTCCAATCGAGGCTTTTCCTTTTTTCCGAATTCGGAGTTCAATTTCCACCGTCTGGTGTTCGATTTTTTTCTCAGAAAATTTTCCAGGGAATCAGAATAGAGATATTTCGGTGACTTTTTTTTTTTCTTGGCAGAGAAAATGAAAGAAATGGCTGTTTGATTTACTTGAAGGAATGTATATGTGTGTGTGTGTGTGTGTGTGTGTGTAAGGATGGTATAATGATGAGAAAAAGATGGTTTTGAGGGTAAAACAGTGAAAGTGCTGTGACGTTTTGATCTTTCTCCAATCTTCTACGTCTCTTTGGCTTTGGAGGGTAAAGTATCAAAAGGCTGGTCTTTTTCTTCCTTTTTTTTTTTTTTTTTTTTTAAGGCTAACTTGCTGTTTAAGTTCAAAAATAAAATAAATGTGAAAAAGAGAAAAACGCTTTGGAAAAGGGAATGATATTATGCCACGTAAGAATAATGAAAATTAAATGGGTGTTCTTTTTTTTTTTTTGAAATAGTTTTTTTTTATTAATTTCTGATTGAAACACGTTGTTCGTTGTGTGGGTGGCTGGTGGCTGGTGGCTGCGGCCACATGGTGGCTAACTACCTTGTTTGTCGTCAATCTGCCACCAACACCATTGATGTCGTTCTTTGGTTTTTTTGGGCTGAATTTGTTGTCGTTTATTTGCGATGTGGCCAAATGCCTCTCGCATTTGTATAAAACCAGTATTTCTCTTCGTTTCTTTCTTCTTCTTTTTTTTTTTTCCTGGCCGAGAGTATAAAGCCAGTAATTAATATGTAGGAATAAGTCGATTCAAATATAAATTAATTTTATAACTTTATAAAAAAATATAAATAATACTATTTGAATCCACTTATTTCTTTAAGTTTGGTGAAAATTCGGGTTTTAATCTTTTGTTGTTTTTTCAGTATTCCTTGAATTTAATAGTTAAATATGAATTTTGGGATCTATATTGTTTAGTAGGGATTTCACAATATGTTATTATAGAAAGAGAATGTTCATGCCAAACACAAAAAAAATTCTCCATTTACCTAAATTGAACTTTTTTTCACTCTTTACTAAAAAAAATTTTTTAAAAAAAAAACGTTTTCTCTCTCCAGTTTTCTTTTCCTTTTGTTATTTAAGTGCTTTACTACTAAATTATATTAAAAAGGGAGATAAAAATATTTTGAATTATTTATTTTGTGATCAAAAGTCAAAAAATATTTGCCCAATTCATTTTGCTGGTTTGAGTTTTCAACTTAAATTAAAAAAAAATAAATTTATGTGAAAAAAAATATTATAACACAAAAAATTAAATTTAAATTTTTATAAAAAAAAAATATTGTAACAAAACTTAAATTGACCGTCTCTTTTGACCCAATTTTGATTTGTCTTAGTTCGCTTTAACATGTGAACCGAACTGAGCCAAACTCTTAGGTCGAACTAAGACATGGTTTTTAGGCCAAAACATAATCGGGCCCAACTTGATTAGAGGTTTTTATTCATTTTTTTAACTTTCCCATTATAACCCCGTACTAGCTTTAGGGACGAGTTGAGCCAATCATTTCTACATTTTTTTAGGCCCGATCGGTCTAATTTACTATCGTCGTTTTCTGTTACCGAGCTGCTCAGACCTAAACTTACAGCTCTACCTTATGGTGTGAAATTTCACAAAAACAATTAAAAATACCAAGTACTACTAACTAAAATTTATATCCTCATAATGATATAATAAAAATTTTCAAGTTAAACAATCTTAAGTGGCACAAATTTATTCCCACAAATGGTCCCTGAAGTTTACTCTCAATCTCATTTTGATCCCTGACTTTTAAAACGTCTCACAGTTAGTCCCCTAAAGTTACATTTTGTTTCAGTTTTGGTCTTTTTGTTAACTAGGTGTTAAATATTAGATAATCTCACAAATGGTCCTTGAGGTTTACCCTCAATTCGACTTTGGTTCCTGACTTTTAAAACGTGCAACAATTAGTCCTTAAGGTTTTAATTTTTTTTTATTTTTGGTTTTTCTGTTAGCCATATGTTAAATATTTGACAGAATATGTGTAAATTAATGATTAAAATTGGAAAAATATAAAATTTAGGGATGAAAATAACAAAAAAAAATTACAGAGATAATCCCTAAATTTTAGTTATTTTCAATTTCGATCCCTAATTTACGTAATTTCTATCAAATATTTAATGACTAATTGACGAAAAGATGAAATTAAAACAAAATAAAATCACAGAAATCAATTTTAGAATATTTTAAAAGTCATAGATTAAATGCGATTGAATGTAACTTCAGGAAACAGTTATGAGATTAACCTTTAAATATTTGATAGAATCTACAAAAAGTGTAGACGAAAGTTGGAAACATATAAAATATGAACTAAAACTATACAAAATTTTAATAATTAATTTTCATAGATACTTTTTAAATTTTAGTTGTTTCTAATTTTGATCTTAATTTATACAAATTTTATTAAATATTTAACAATTAATTAAAACAAGACTAAAACTAAAATAGAGTACAATCTCAACAACTATTATTATAAGACATTTTAAAAGTAAGGATGAAACTGAGTTAGGGCTAAATCTCAAGGACTATCCGGGGCATTAATCCTATATTGAGTAAAATTAAATGTAAGCAAAAAAAAAAAAAGCATATACGTAATTTTCTTGAAATGTTTTAATATTTTATTTATTGTACTACCTTCTTTGAAAACCTCATCAGTCTCTGATCTCGCCTGAGAACAACACCTCGTCCGATTCGCCGGAGAAAAATGGCGGCGAAGGAGGGAAGATTTTGGGGATGGGCATTTGCATCTGTAATTTTCAGGCTAATTCTGATTTATTTCCCCAACAATCTCAACCTCTCTTCTCGTCCTGAAGTCTCTACTCCTCTCACCAGTCTTCGTCGCCGTACTCTCTCTCTCTCTCTCACTCTCTCTCACTCTCTCTCACTCTCTCTCTAGCTTCGAAGCTTAATTCCATGGCTAGTTCACTATTTTCTCACGAAATTATCTTGCCTTTTCAGTGGCTGAGGGATATTGGTTGAAGCAGTCGTCGTTGTCTCCTTATGCAGGTCTGTACGCAATTCTTACTAAAAGCTTCTGTTGTCGATTATTGGTTTTTGGGATCTCAGAAATGTTTCATCTTGTTTCTCTTTCACAGGATCTATGTACCACGGTTCTCCATTGCTTCTCTATGTTCTTGGACCACTCACTGCCAAAAGGTGCCTAGTTTAGTGATTTTTTTAGTGTGTTTTGTTTTCTAATTTGCTTTACATTTTGTCAAGTTTTAGTTTTTGAGGTCTAAGTTTTGGAATTTTTGAGAATCCCAGATACCAAATCCATCTCCATTTTTTTCCATGGATTATTTAGGAGTTTTGGGAACTTGTTTAGTTGTATTATGTAAGAAAATTTGTTAATTTTGATTTTGTCAAAATTTGTTTACCAAAGCGCACATACACGTTTTGCTATCAAAGCTAAATTTTAGAGTACCATGAAAATTTTTGGGAACTTGTTTAGTTGTATTATGTAAGAAAATTTGTTAATTTTGATTATGTCAAAATTTGTTTACCAAAGCGCACATACACGTTTTGCTATCAAAGCTAAATTTTAGAGTACCATGAAAATTTGGCTCTTATTTTATTTTATTTTTTAAGCAATGTAATTTTTGAAAATTTGGTTTTGATGATACAGAATTGAAGGACAACTCAATCATCTTCTATGTGGGTAAGCTTGAAGTTTTGGCTTTCTACTTCATATTTGTTTTGTTAATCTATATTTTTATTCTCATTTCTTTGTTATTTTTATCAGACTTTTGATTTCCTTATTTGATTATACGTTTAAGACTTATTACGTGGACAGGCAGTTGATATTAACGCATGTTTGGATGCAGCTTGGTATTTGTGATTGCAGATGTTGTGAATGCATTGCTTATACGTGTTATTGGCCAGAATCTTCAGATTTCATACAATCAGCGTTTGAAAGCACTAAGCCTTGATGCAATACCAAAAGAGAAAGGTAATCATTATAAACGTAAAGATAATTCTTTTAAGTTTTGGCCCAAATAGGAATGTAGGATGATATTGTTGGAAAACTATGGGTTAGGAAATATTGCATTAAAAATTTCACTTTAGTTGAGCTGGGAACTATTGCATGTTGGTTGTTCCGTGAAAAGCTAGACTTCTATATGTAAGATATGCCTGCTTTATTAGGCAATTAAACTAGTGGCCTAATCCTTGTCTAGCCTTTTTCACATTCATTGTTTCTGCTTTGCAAGCTAACAAATTGCGGTATCTGTGTTTGTTTCAGCGATCCTTCCTTCTCGAGACATTGCTGCTCTTGTCTACCTATGGAATCCTTTCACAATAGTTTCATGTGTGGGTTTGTCAACATCTCCAATTGAAAACATGGCTGTTATATTGTCACTATACGGAGCGTGTACACGTAAGGAGATAATAGTTTGTATATTTTTTGTTCCATGATCTGTTTGAAACTTTTTTGTCTCCAAGCTAGGTGCAATATTAGATCAATTTTACAAATTGTTGAAGGTACTTTTGGTTGATTCAAATTGCTCTTTTTAACTTGTGTTTACTATTGCATATTGTTCTTCTGATGGACCACAGGTAAAATTCCCCTGGCAGCTTTTGGATGGGTCATGGCAACACATCTTTCCCTTTATCCAATGATTCTAATCATTCCTGTATTTTTTTTTTCTCTCTTTTTTTCGTTTAGTTAATTTTGTATTTTAATAAATTAGTGAAGTCCTTAGAAAAATCTGGGGAATTTTTTTTCCCTAAATTTTCGTCGTCACTCATGTAAATAATAAGCAACTGTCATTTTCCCGTAGGTGATTCTTTTATTAGGATATGGTCCAGAAACTCCTCCGAGAAAGTTGTTTGATGGAAAAGTTGAAGATAGTGCCTCAAGCAATCACAGTCATAGAGCAATGAAACAACAAGGAGCTGCCACTATTTTCTCTTGGAAACCAGTATTGAAGTTCTTGATGTGGTCTGTTGTTTGGTCAATCTATGTGTTGGTTCTATGTGGTCTATGTGTCAGACATTATGGTGGCCTTCACGAGATGTTTAAGAGGTACAAGTAGACTACCAAACTTGTTGAGTACCCTTCTTCTAGATCCTGTAAAATTATGATACTCAATAAGTAATCTTAGTTACTTTATAACTGTCCGTTTTTTGCAGAACCTATGGGTTCATCCTTACAGTGCCAGATTTATCTCCAAACATAGGTGTATTATGGTGAGCTATTAGCCTCAAATTACCTGTGTTGGATAATATATATTTTTTACTTTTGAGATGTGGGAATAATATATCAACCACTGACACTCTGATGCAGGTACTTCTTTGCAGAAGTTTTTGAATTTTTCAGAAATTTTTTTCTGATTGTGTTCCATATGAACATTTTGTTCATGGTACTCCCGTTAGCTATACGGCTGAACCACCGCCCCTGCTTTCTGGCTTTTGTGTACATTGCAATCTCGTCAATGCTCAAGTCTTATCCTTCAGTAAGTTCTCCCTCTTGTGCGGAGGTCTTGTGTTTTACCGAGGCAAATGCTTTCCTTGCATATATTAACCATAATGTGTGAGATTTCCTTTATTCTCCATTTAAGAGACAATGATGTGAACTGAGAATATATTAGCTTTCAATTCTATCTTTTTATACCTAATACTAGCCAAATACCAAAAAAAAAAAAAAACGGAAAACCAGGAAGAAGGGCAACAAAGATTTGCTTGCTAACCTGTATTTGGGGTTATGAATTCAATATTCATTAATTGTCCATCGTCGTGAGTTTTTTCCTTCCCCCCGTTTTTAAGAAACGGAAATTTATTAATAAAATAGAAAGTTATAGAAAATTTAACACTTGGACAAGAAGTTCTCAGAGAAAAACTTATCATCATAAATTAATGGGATATAAGAGATCTGATTATATCTTTCCTCTTCTTTTGTTTTTCAATTTCATTAGGTTGGTGATGCAGCTCTATACCTTGGTTTATTGGGATTGTTTGTTAATGAACTAGCAGGCAAGTTCATAGGTTCTGTTTCCTTACATGTGAAATTTTACATGCTTAGCGTTTGGTGTTTTAAACTTTCAATCTTCCATGACAAACAGATATGCAGTTCTCATTTTTCCTGTTCTGCGTTTATGTTGGGGTTTCCCTCCTCAGCCCTGTAATGCATAACCTATGGATATGGAGGGTATGTCATAATCTCAAGTTGCTTAAAATGGTGAAATGAATAGAACAACCGTTTATCATGACAGATTTTATGTACTGTGCAGGGCACCGGGAATGCAAATTTCTACTTTGCAACTGCCATGGCCTATGCTTGCTTTCAGGTTTCTTTTTAAGTTTTTTTATATAATTTATTATTTTCCTTTTGCATTATTGAGAGTGTGAACGCTTGTAACCAAGTTATTTTAGCCCAAAGTGACGCTTAAAAGGGTGGAAATAATTAAAATATTCGGCAATATACTTGGGATAGAAAGTCTGATCATATTTCGAAACCTTAACCTTTCCCTAAATCAATATTATGATTTATCTGCATCCCTACTCTGATGCTTACTGTTGACACTGCAGATTGTTTTGGTGGTCGAGAGTGTAAGCGCGATGCTCAGTCATGACAGGAAGCTAAAGAAGCTTTCGATTGCAAAGCATCAAGAGAGCAAGTCTTGACTCTTGAGCAACTCTTGCAGCCATTCAAATTTTTATGCGGTTAATCACCTTAGCTTCATTCTTTAGAGTTCTGTAATGCAAGCAGATCGCAGCAACACTCTACTAATGACCTCTCTGACTCAAGAACTCGTACCACAGTCAAGTCGGCCGTTGCATCGTGGATAGAAGACCTATGCATCCTCCGAAACAACGCTTTCTTGCTCAGCATTTAGATGGAATTGTAACTGAATATAGGGATTGTAATGATAAAAAACGAGATTGTTGTAGTATTTTTCAAATGCAAATGAATATTAAGAGCGTGTGTGTGTGCGTGTGTTTGAGGGAAAGGCACAAGTTGATTGCCTTATAGAATTGCTTGTCAGAATATATAGCAGAGTTCAAAATATGCGGTTCCAATTTTCCTGTTCTAGTCTAAAAGCTTTTTTTTTCCTCCCATTGGTCGAATAATAATTCTAAGATCAATACTCTTCCTAAACTATAGCATATGATTGCTTGTAAAAACTTGCTCAATTAGACTTCCATTAATTACCTAGAGCTTGAGGAGAAATGAAAATTGAAGATCTTTTATAGCACCAGAAAAATGCTATAAAAATGAGACAAACTTTTGTGGGTGTTTGGAATGCGTTTTGTTTCCAATTTTTCACGTTTATCGAGAAAAAAATAAAAATGAAAGAAAAACAGTGTTTAGAGCAGCTGATCATAAAAAATAAAAACAAAAATAATCTTGGTTTTTTTGTGTAAAATAGGGTAGAAAATGATTAGTTGTTTTCATTTTCTTCTTTTAGAGCAGCTGATCATAAAAAATAAAAACAAAAATAATCTTGGTTTTTTGTGTAAAATAGGGTAGAAAATGATTAGTTGTTTTCATTTTCTTCTGTCTATTTTTTCTTTTGTCAACCACAGTTAAATGTTAAAGTGTTGAAAAGTTAGAATCCAAAAAGTACAAAAAACTGTTAAAATACTACTAGATATTTATATAACTGATAAGTAGTAAGCTGCTAAATTATTTAATATATTTTTTAATAGTAACTGTTAAAATACTACTAGATATTTATATAACTGATAAGTAGTAAGCTGCTAAATTATTTAATATATTTTTTAAAATACTATTAGATGTTTTCAAAAATATATAACTAAACGGAGTTTTAGTTTTTCTTATATTGAAAACAATCTCTTAATAAAATTACCAAACGCATTTTTAAAAATAATTTCTGTATGAGATTAAAAAAAATTTTATTTTTATTTTTATACAAAAAATAAAATCATTTTGAAATTAATTCTAAATGCGTTCTTTATTTCTTCTAAAACTCTCTTTTATAGCTTATGGGAACCCCAAAGAAAGAGGAAAAAAAAATCTAAACAAAATGCAACAGGAAAGTTCTCTCACTACAACCAAGGAATTGAATCGGCATTGAGTTGAGTTCATCTACTAAGGTTCCGTTTATTTTGTTGATTTGAGTTTAGAATTTGAGTTTTTCAACAGTAAAAAGCTCTCACAAATAATCATATCTAACTTTTTTACTACAGTAAAAAACTCATATAAAATCACATCTCAACTCAAATTAAAAACTCAAATCAGCGAACTAAACGGCTATAAATTTCTGCTGAAGCTCGTTCAATTTAATACAATTGTCTCTCCCATTCTGAAACCAAAGTACAAGACATAAATGCCCACGTGCACACAGATTTATTTTCAGCACCATTTCTTGGTAGGCCTTTTCTGATTTCTCTCTGTCTTTAAAGCCACTTGTGGAGTTTCCTTTCATCATTGGTGACATCATGAATGGAAAGCTTTCTATAAATAGTAACCCTTCAAATGCCACTCCTAGACATTTGTTTTAGGAGGCCCATCATAACTTGCTTTGCATGTTCTTATATTGAGGACCAAGGACACAAGTGCACATTATTTGTACTTTTTGTATATTGAGAATTTTTCTGAGATGAATTAGAATTTAGAGGAATACTACTTTCAAAGAGCTGGTATTTAAATATGCGATTTTGAATAACTAGATTTCGAAAGTGATATCGAGCTTAAATTTACACGAGTTTTTGGTGTTGGCGGTGTTGAATTTGATCCCGTCCGGTCTACTTTCTTGATATGGAAAAAGGCTAAGTTGGGAAGTAAGCAAAAGGTGGCTCCAAATCCTGGTCCAGAGGGTCATGTGCCCTTTGGTACAAGTGAATGAAAAAAATTTTGAATGCATGAACTTGAATGGGATTTTGATTGCTTCACAAGGCATAGTTTATATTTAAAGCCACTACCCAAGATTGGGCAAGTTCCCTATGCCCATGGCTGACCACATTCCAGCTTGCTTAGCTTTGTGGCTTTTTATTATTTTTATTCAGTATTAAAATTAATAAGATAAAGACCTACCCAATTTCATGGAAACTATGGAAGTTAGTCCAAGTAATTTCTCAACTAGAGAAGACACAAAATTGTTATTTTTCCATACTTAAAAAAATTCTCTTTTATCTATGTGAAGTTGTCAACTCAACTTCATTAAGCTAGCATATGGGTTACCTTGAAACATTAATATGTTAGTAAACACGTGAACTGTGAGGTATAATTGTTTATCTGTTATCTTGGACAAGTAAATTTTTATGTTCTCTAAAGAAAAATAAGGGTTAAATACTTTGTGTTTTTTAAGTCATAAGGTAGAAAAATGAACACATGAAATTCCCAAAAAGCTCCATCGCATCCCTTTTACTTAGAGGGGGAAAAACAAAACAAAACAAGTGGATAATTTTGAAAGTTACACTTTCAAAAAATTAGAATTCCCAATTTATATCTGAAATATTCTTATATTGTGCATAACTTTGCTCTCTTAACCGCACCAGATCCAATATTCTAATCATAAAGAGGGGGGGAAAAAAAAAAAAAAAAAAACCAATCCATGTTGCAATTTTATGCTAAACTAATAATATTATGCAAAGTACAGTACTGAATGCTTATAGAAGGCTTCATACATATGTACTGAAGTGCCTAGTTGATCATACTATATAAAGAGTATCTATTTATCTAGTACTTCAAAGCTTAATATTTAACTGCACCATGTTAGGGAAAATTTGTCTTCCATCAATTATCCTTGTAACAAGAACTACAAAATCATATGTACATGAATATATATATATATATATATATATATGAGAGCGTTTTGAGGCACGTATTAGTGATTATTGACAACTCAAGACAATATGACAATTAGAAGTGTGTGTATATATACACACACACATGTATAAATATATATAACATTGCAAAGTGAAAAAATGGTTCTAATTTAAGCAGTAATTTCATACCTAACTACACTTCGAGGTGTTGAGTTTAAATTCTCCACTACCAAGTAAAAAAAAAAAAAAAAAAAAGAAAAGAAATTAAAAGAAAGGAAAAGAAATGGCTCTAATGAAGGTAGAAATTAATTCAGGTTTCTTGAGTCTTAAGCCACTGACTTTCTACATATAGTATAAGACATCGAGGCTGTCGAGCATTTTAAATATATGCGTCATGATACACGTATTTGATAGTTTTAATGGGCTTTTTATTTAGGTCATTAGTACTTTATACATGTAGATATATTTAACTATTCATGTCTAGCTAGCAACCCTGCCTGCTCCAGTTAACTGGGAGTCATATATATATATATATATTGGAATTAAGGGAATAAGCAAATTCTTAATCTAACTTAATTAGTCAAATGATGCTTTATATACAATCATAACCTGATTACCTTGCAAATGTAGTACAAATATTACACACATAAACAATACACATAAAAAAAAGGAACAATTTGTAACGCCAGATGGGATGATAGTGAAATAAGATTCCTATATTCATGATTACCATATATTATCCCTTCTATAACATTTCAGCCTCTTACCTCCTTTTTTTTTTTCTTTCAAGGTATCGGATGACAAATTGATCAAGGCAAACTATCACTGATTCTGAAAAGTATCACATTGGATAGGCACTAATTTGCAATCAACCTGAGTTTGTAAATTTTTTTTTTTTTTTTTTTTGTAAAAAAAAAAAACTTTAATTTATTATAAATTGGAAAGGAATAGTTTTCAGGTGATTTTTTGCTGCAGATTAATGTTTATTGTATGAGTTTATAATGTCATATACATTGGTTTTATATCCTAAAGAGTTGTGAAGATCTTCAAACTTCACCCCAAAAATAATAATAATATTAATAAAATAACCTCTTCAAAATCTTAAGGGGGTAAGAGCATAATTTAGGGGGGAATGGCCAAATCTTGCAGCATGAGTGGTAGTAACTGTAAGAGATGAATTAGTGTTAATTGACTAATTATATAGACCATTGCTTTTGCTTTTTCACGTCACAGACAGGAAGAGCAACTTTCTCCTTAATTCTCTCAATTTTTGACTAACTTAAGAATCAAAAACTTAATACGATCACCGACATCATCTTTTGTTTCCTTATAATTATCATTTATCATTATTATTTTTTTACAGTATCTTTTTTCTTAGTGTCTATATTATAGTACTTTTTTTTTTTTTATAGATTTGTATGTCATTACTCACTACTAAGTACTAGTTAAGAAAATATTTACATAGCATGGGTAGGAAAGAGCGTAGATTAAAAAAAAAAAACGTATTTACCTCCGATTTCAACTAGATAGTATTTTATAATACAACTTCCCAATAACCAGTATCATTTCCTTTTTCATAATATTCGATATTTGTTATTTGTTATTCACATGATCTAATTTTATATGTGGAATACTTTTCAACCAAGTAGAATCTTATTGGATGTTAATTAGTTTTTAAATAATTTCAATTTTAACTAACGAAACTGAAAGATATCTTGAAAAGATGAGTCATATTCCGGGTATATATGATTTTGGCAGCTTATAATTAATATTTTCATATAGCAAACAAAAGTCTTAATATAAGCCTCTTTAAAATATGAGTCGGTTTTCTCAAGAAAAAGACAAAAAGAAGATCAAAGAATAAACAAATTATGAAAAGGAAAAATCAAGTTATTCCACCTAATGGATATTGAATAGCAATGAAGTAGTCCCTCATGATATGGAGTCTTTGCATGTGGGTTCGCACGATCAGATCCTCTAACCAAACATGAGAATTTTTCATGATATAAAACAACAAAGGGCACCACTAATGGTTGGTGTAGCGATACATCTTTCTTCTTTTTTAAGAACGCATTCAGAATACAATACTCTACAGTCTTACTTTAAGATTCGTGCTCAATTAATATGTTGTACGGCGTTTGTTGTGTGACAATATGAGTAAAAATTGGCCTATCAAGTAGAATATAAGTTAAATTCTTTCTGTTTTATTCGTGGCTCTTAAAATTTTTAAAATGACGAGGGGGATGGAGAGGCTCGATGATACTGATGATTCCTTTCTTTCTTGAGTGAAAAAAAGGGCAAAAAAACTATGATCGAAAGAATTAAAAACTAAAGGAAGAAAAACCTAGGGGGTCTAAGAGAACAGAAAGTTTGACCTCATTAGCAAACACTTTTTTAGGGTGTATTTATTGTATTACATAAACTATTTATTAGTTTAATAATCCCAAAATAGGAGCTGTTTGAGCTGCCATTATTGTGCACCCCTTCAGGGAGACCTTTCTCCTTGGCCATGCCAAGCAGTCAGGTAATATGTGTTTGTGTCATCATCTTACTTAAAAATAATTTTAAAAAAAAAAGAAACTCTTATCAACTACATTTGATCTTTTCTGCATCAAACAAAGTACCTTATGTGATCATATTAATTATAATCACCGAAAATACATACTTTATAACTCCAAAATAGTCTTCTATGAGTGTTTAAAGGGTCCTTTTCACAATTATTATACATGTACATTTTTTAACACTAGGATCTCGTTCATTTCACCGATTTGAGTTTTATTATAATAAAAAACTCTGAAAAACAGTCATATTTAATTTTTTTATGACAATAAAAAATTATCACATAAAGTCACATCTCAACTCATATCAATGAATTAACGAGCTCAGATATATAAGAAAAATTCTAAAACCTTGCTTAAGACCGCATATATGACCTATACAACCTATAAACTTTAAAGAGCCATTACCGATGTTTCTTTATGGATGGCTTGGCCGTTAACACTTGCTTCAGTTGAGCAGGTTCCTTGACTTTTAAATTTTTCTTACTTCTAACTTCTTAATTCTTATGGGTGTTTTTAGTTGAGAGATGGTAAAATATAAAAGAAAACGTACAAATTGACCATTTATATACGAAGCCCATAATAAATTTGTGCCCATCCTCTTATTTTATCTCACGTACAAATTTCTATATTATCTCATGAATAAATTTCTATATTATCATGGATATTTTAGATTATGCTCATATCTCCATTTGAATTAATCACACCTTGATATATATATATATATATATATATATGTTTGTATATATATGTATATGTATTGCTGTGTATGTATATATGCAATAGAAGTGAGACCGAAATCTTACAGATTGATCATGATCTATATTCCCTAGTGGATCTCAACAGCTAAAACATGATCTAGTAAAAGATATTGTTCCTGAACACAAAGAAAAGAAAAATGTATGAACACAAGAACAAAACATGTGTTTGTGTGTGTTATTGTATCAACATCTCATAGATACTGTAGTATTTATCTTAGATATTGGTCAGATTTCAGGAAGTTGGCAAAACCCCATTAGACATTAAGACTTTTCAGTATTTTATGGACCATTAAAAATGGCTGTTTTTTTGTTTATTATTATTATTATTCTCAGAAAAATGTATGAACACAAGAACAAAACATGTGTTTGTGTGTGTTATTGTATCAACATCTCATAGATACTGTAGTATTTATCTTAGATATTGGTCAGATTTCAGGAAGTTGGCAAAACCCCATTAGACATTAAGACTTTTCAGTATTTTATGGACCATTAAAAATGGCTGTTTTTTTGTTTATTATTATTATTATTCTCTTTTTTTTTTTTTTTTATTTTTTATATATAAACTTTAGGTTTGTTAGACAGACA